GCACATGTGTAGCAGAACAAATTTGTGAGGGACTTTTGTGATCTCTATTAATGAGGAATAACCCATGGATTATGAGTTGCTGAACAAATAATCATTGTGTTAGAATTTATACATACCCGCGTTGAAAGTAAAAAAACATGATGGCGGCGCCCGTTGAACGACCGCGCTGTTGCTTACTCCGTTTTCAGGCATTGTTGTCAGCTGCAAAACAAGCAGTAAAACGCGAGACATTTGTGACAGTGTGTTCCTGGAATCAACAATTTTATGAACATTAAGCCACTGGCGACGCGGCGCAAATTGAAAACAGCCCAGTAACAAGCCCATATCTTCAAACAACAAAAACACCTAGTCCAGTGTAGCTTTGGTGATCGGTGTATGGTCTGGCGTTTACCAGACTGAAAGAAATGGGCACATCACAATCATCACAAGCTTAAAAAAATGATGGGCTGGAACCACCCAAAAAATGTAACATGTAAACATAATTTCCATCAACAGCACACTGCCTTGAATTCAACAATGTTCATACATCAAACTACTGTCCATTGTATATATCTACATCTATTGTATTATATGTGTAAACATATGATGGATAAATCAACAACCCACCGCCCACTGCAAATAAGCAGACACACCATCATCCAAGGGCATGGATTTCGAAGTTATCCCCATGGATCTGAAGAGTGCCACAGCATTCCCATCCATACCCAGATCAACAGACTGCACCAATCAAAGTATTAGTATATTGTGATCTATTGTGATCTATTGTGTCTTTTCTTTTGGTATTTCACCCCCAACCCATCACTACCTGTTGAGAATATATTAACGGCTGATCTTTCACCCAACAAATAAGTCTGTAACCTATGGCAAAAGCTTGAAGCTTTCAATTAGAAGGGCGCCTCAAGTTGCAGTATACTTAGAGAATTTGGTTATTGTCCTGGCAAATCCATCATTTGTTGTTCCATTTTATAGCAATTTTTGTTGGCTGAATCCCCATTTTTGTTATATCCACAATGGCTTGCCCTGCCTCTGAATCACTCCGCGGGGGTGAAGGTCGTGAGTGCACTGAGAACACGCTGCCCCTGGAGGATTTTGGTTGAAGAATAATGGGATTCAAAGATTCCTGTGGGAATTTCATGGGGATCTTATGGGACTAATAGATTTTGAGACTTGTTTATATCCGCCGACCCCGCCTTAGCCAAGGCAGGGGCGGCGCCTGGGACCACCGCAGGTGTGGAACTTTTTTTCCTTCCCAATGCTTTGCACTTTCCACGAGCCACCCAGGCCATAGCACCCTCTGTTCACCGCCCAGGAGCCACTCAGGCCACAGCAATTTCTGTGCACTTCCCACGAGCCACTCATGCCACAGCAATCTCTGTTTCTACGGCGTTCCAAAACGCAACAGGCCGCGGCAGACCTTTCCTGCAGCTCCAACAAGTCCCTGAGGCCGTGGCAGTGTCCTTTTAAGGAGGTTCAAGGCTGCCGTTTGCCAGCCCGCAAAACTCCCCAAACCCTCCCCTGCAGCTCCCAGGCGCCACTCAGGCCGCGGCAGACCTTTCCTGCAGCTCCAACAAGTCCCTGAGGCCGTGGCAGCGTCTTTTTAAGGACGTTCAAGGCTGCCGTTTGCCAGCCCGCAAAACTCGCCAAACCCTCCCCTGCAGCTCCCAGGCGCCACTCAGGCCGCGGCAGACCTTTCCTGCAGCTCCAACAAGTCCCTGAGGCCGTGGCAGCGTCTTTTTATGGACGTTCAAGGCTGCCGTTTGCCAGCCCTCAAAACTCCCCAAACCCTCCCCTGCAGCTCCCAGGCGCCACTCAGGCCGCGGCAGACCTTTCCTGCAGCTCCAACAAGTCCCTGAGGCCGTGGCAGTGTCCTTTTAGGACGTTCAAGGCTGCCGTTTGCCAGCCCGCAAAACTCGCCAAACCCTCCCCTGCAGCTCCCAGGCGCCACTCAGGCCGCGGCAGACCTTTCCTGCAGCTCCAACAAGTCCCTGAGGCCCTGGCAGTGTCCTTTTAAGGACGTTCAAGGCTGCCGTTTGCCAGCCCGCAAAACTCGCCAAACCCTCCCCTGCAGCTCCCAGGCGCCACTCAGGCCGCGGCAGACCTTTCCTGCAGCTCTAACAAGTCCCTGAGGCCGTGGCAGCGTCTTTTTATGGACGTTCAAGGCTGCCGTTTGCCAGCCCGCAAAACTCCCCAAACCCTCCCCTGCAGCTCCCAGGCGCCACTCAGGCCGCGGCAGACCTTTCCTGCAGCTCCAACAAGTTCCTGAGGCCCTGGCAGTGTCCTTTTAAGGACGTTCAAGGCTGCCGTTTGCCAGCCCGCAAAACTCGCCAAACCCTCCCCTGCAGCTCCCAGGCGCCACTCAGGCCGCGGCGGACCTTTCCTGCAGCTCCAACAAGTCCCTGAGGCCGTGGCAGTGTCCTTTTAAGGACGTTCAAGGCTGCTCCAAACCCTCCCCTGCAGCTCCCAGGCGCCACTCAGGCCGCGGCAGACCTTTCCTGCAGCTCCAACAAGTCCCTGAGGCCGTGGCAGTGTCCTTTTAAGGACGTTCAAGGCTGCCGTTTGCCAGCCCGCAAAACTCCTCAAACCCTCCCCTGCAGCTCCCAGGCGCCACTCAGGCCGCGGCAAACCTTTCCTGCAGCTCCAACAAGTCCCTGAGGCCCTGGCAGTGTCCTTTTAAGGACGTTCAAGGCTGCCGTTTGCCAGCCCGCAAAACTCGCCAAACCCTCCCCTGCAGCTCCCAGGCGCCACTCAGGCCGCGGCAGACTTTTCCTGCAGCCCCAACAAGTCCCTGAGGCCCTGGCAGTGTCCTTTTAAGGACGTTCAAGGCTGCCGTTTGCCAGCCCGCAAAACTCGCCAAACCCTCCCCTGCAGCTCCCAGGCGCCACTCAGGCCGCGGCAGACTATTCCTGTAGGGCCGCGGCAGATTTCCTGCAGCTCCAACAAGTCCCTGAGGCCCTGGCAGTGTCCTTTTAAGGACGTTCAAGGCTGCCGTTTGCCAGCCCGCAAAACTCGCCAAACCCTTCCCTGCAGCTCCCAGGCGCCACTCACGCCGCGGCAGACCTTTCCTGCAGCTCCAACAAATCCCTGAAGCCCTGGCAGTGTCCTTTTAAGGACGTTCAAGGCTGCCGTTTGCCAGCCCGCAAAACTCGCCAAACCCTCCCCTGCAGCTCCTAGGCGCCACTCAGGCCGCGGCAGACCTTTCCTGCAGCTCCAACAAGTCCCTGAGGCCCTGGCAGCGTCTTTTTATGGACGTTCAAGGCTGCCGTTTGCCAGCCCGCAAACTCCCCAAACCCTCTCTGCAGCTCCCAGGCGCCACTCAGGCCGCGGCAGACCTTTCCTGCAGCTCCAACAAGTCCCTGAGGCCCTGGCAGTGTCCTTTTAAGGACGTTCAAGGCTGCCGTTTGCCAGCCCGCAAAACTCGCCAAACCCTCCCCTGCAGCTCCCAGGCGCCACTCAGGCCGCGGCAGACCTTTCCTGCAGCTCCACCAAGTCCCTGAGGCCGTGGCAGCGTCTTTTTATGGACGTTCAAGGCTGCCGTTTGCCAGCCCTCAAAACTCCCCAAACCCTTCCCTGCAGCTCCCAGGCGCCACTCAGGCCGCGGCAGACCTTTCCTGCAGCTCCAACAAGTCCCTGAGGCCGTGGCAGTGTCCTTTTAAGGACGTTCAAGGCTGCCGTTTGCCAGCCCTCAAAACTCCCCAAACCCTCCCCTGCAGCTCCCAGGCGCCACTCAGGCCGCGGCAGACCTTTCCTGCAGCTCCAACAAGTCCCTGAGGCCCTGGCAGTGTCCTTTTAAGGACGTTCAAGGCTGCCGTTTGCCAGCCCGCAAAACTCGCCAAACCTTCCCCTGCAGCTCCCAGGCGCCACTCAGGCCGCGGCAGACTATTCCTGCAGCTCTAACAAGTCCCTGAGGCTGTGGCAGCGTCTTTTTATTTTGACGTTCAAGGCTGCCGTTTGCCAGCCCTCAAAACTCCCCAAACCCTCCCCTGCAGCTCCCAGGCGCCACTCAGGCCGCGGCAGACCTTTCCTGCAGCTCCAACAAGTCCTGAGGCCGTGGCAGTGTCCTTTTAAGGAGGTTCAAGGCTGCCGTTTGCCAGCCCGCAAAACTCCCCAAACCCTCCCCTGCAGCGGCGCCACTCAGGCCGCGGCAGACCTTTCCTGCAGCTCCAACAAGTCCCTGAGGCCCTGGCAGTGTCCTTTTAAGGACGTTCAAGGCTGCCGTTTGCCAGCCCGCAAAACTCGCCAAACCCTCCCCTGCAGCTCCCAGGCGCCACTCAGGCCGCGGCAGACCTTTCCTGCAGCTCCAACAAGTCCCTGAGGCCCTAGCAGCGTCTTTTTATGATCGTTCAAGGCTGCCGTTTGCCAGCCCGCAAAACTCCCCAAACCCTCCCCTGCAGCTCCCAGGCGCCACTCAGGCCGCGGCAGACCTTTCCTGCAGCTCCAACAAGTCCCTGAAGCCCTGGCAGTGTCCTTTTAAGGAGGCTCTTATTTCTTTTTTGTTTTCGTTGTCTTTTCTCGGGAACGTGCCACTGCTTGTTGTGACATGGTTTTCCCGATGGCATGTCATGCTTGACAGCAATGCGGCCACATTACAGCGATGACCAAACAACAGTAGAGCAGACCGGGCAACTGTGCGCATGACGCCGTGTCTGCTTGCTGACTTCACCGTCCTTGACGTAAAATTGATTGTTGCACACAGATCGATGGTCGATTCGCCCTGTCTTCACGTTGCTGTTCACAAGTCCATTGCAAAATGGGCACTGGTAAACAAAACAAAGGGCACAATTCTAAGCGCAAATGATCTCTCTCTCTCTCTCTCTCTACCGGACCACCCCCAATAGGGGGGTCGGCGGCACCAGGGCGCTAGCCCATTCTATATAGTGGATTTTCCCATTAAAAATGGTGATTTTCCATAGTTATGTTAGTCATTACCAGAGGGTACTCAAAACAATGCCCTTTTTTATGGGCCCAAAAAGTGTCTTCGATCCCCTTGGCGCAGGAAAAATTTTCAGCGTCACGGTCAACCTGCGCTTTCCTCGGTGGACCTGCCCGCACTCGTGGTGGGGGTTGTCTCGGGCTGGCAGTGGGGGGAACATTGGAATGTTGCCACAAGCTGGTCGTGGGGCATGGTTATAACATGCTTATAACACGTTAGGATCCAGGTAATTTCAGTGCAGCAGTTATTGCAATTGTAAGTTTATTGATAGATTTTTTGTCACATTTAACCATTGTCACAATCTACATTAATGTTGTAATATGGGCATGACAAACATAATGACACTCAAGGAACATGTGCAAGCCCCACATCGCCGAAATCCAACCGCGGAACGCGACAAGAATGGATTTGGGATCGATTTACATAGCTATGAAAGATCCAACTTTAAAATATGTTGAAAAATAGGTACATCAACGATAAATTGGCCATGGCTCCAATAGAAAACGACAGAAAATTCCCCAAAGGGACTTTTCAGCAACGAAAAGGGCACACCTTGGCAGCAGCAGGTTCCTCTTTTCGGAGCCTCGCGGTGCCAGCTCGTCCTTGGCTTGTGCCGTACCAGCTCGATCTTGTCGGATGACATCGGGGATATGAAAAACGATGTGGCCAGTAATTTTTAAGAATTCTGCACGGATGGGTAAATTCTGCGCAAATGGCTTACCCTCTGGTAATTTAACATAGCTATTGAAAATGGCCATTTATAGTGGATTTTCCCATTAAAAATGGTGATTTTCCATAGCTATTTTGACATAACCAGAGGGTACCAGCCTGATTTTGTTTGCACATGGTCTGTGACATTTTGTCCCCGGGTGACCACAGCCAACCATTCAAAAGGGGAACGCAGTGCCAAAGAATTGCAGGGACCTGACCTGACCGGTGGATTGGTTCTGGCTGGTGGATAGTGATTCCCGGTGCATGATAAATCCAAAAAAAAACAGTCCCCATGGCCTCAAACCCATCAACCAATGAGGCTTTCTGGCTGTTGGTCTTCATGAAATGACGGAAATTTCATGGGCAAATCATAACGATCAACCGGGGAACTTTGGTGGGAGTCCCTGTGGAAAAAATGAAGACAAGCACATCACCAACGACTCTGGGTACATCCAACCACTGCACGGACACCGCCATATAACCAAATCATGAGGAGGGTGCACCTTGTTCCTTGACCTCTTCAACCTATTCGTTGAGTAACGCTGTCTGTTTGAGGCGACTGAATATCGGATCCCAGGTAACATGGGCTGCGTCCACATCCGGATTCGTGTCTGTTGCGTATTGTATCAGTCGAATTCCTAGCCCTGAAATTTGGCAGAAACACCTCGAAAAAGGGAACTGCCCACAATCGTTATCTATGGACAAAGCGCCATTTACAAAGTAGGTGGTGACCTTCGCCGTGGTCCCAGCAATGCTGCCGCTAAACTGCACCCGTTAAATTTGTATGTCAAGTATTAGTGATCCCATCCCCAAAAAAAATTGTTTAAATGAATACATACATGGAAAAATTGCTAATTCATGGTTTCGAATAGGTGGCATTTAATAGCTGGAAGGGACTTTTTTTCAGCATAACTCTGGTTAATCAATGTTGCAAGCCTAAGCCCAAACCCTGAATTTTGCAGGTTCTGATCTCATTTTTGTTGGTTAAAAGAAAAGTGAAGACTCACATGGAACCCCTTTTTTAATCGCCGTGACCTGTTCAATCCGAAAATCCTCAAAATCGGACCCAGTCCCGTACTGTACTGCTTGGTTGAGACCGGGTTCCAAGTTCTTTGTTCCAAGTTCTGTCATTCAGAATCCCCAACAATCCTGGTAGTATAAACTAATATTTTTCACCATGATGTTTGGTATCAATATCCTTCTTTATTGGTAAATCCACATTGTTGTCCTTAAATCATCGTTAAATCACAAGGTGTCCTTTTTCTTTGCTAGTGCAAGCCCCCTATCAGCTCATCATGTTTTGAATTTTCTTTTTCGGTTGAATCCCAAATAAATTGAGGAAATCCCCCATGTTTGCTGCTTGGAGGCTTGTGCCAGTCAGTAGGTATATATATGTGTGTGTGTGATGCATGTATGTGTATATCTATGTACACATATATATATATACATATATTATTTATGTATTATTATGTTATAAGTAGGGTCAGTTGGATTACCGTAGTCCATCTGCAACTGCGATGAACTAACCCACCTTCTGGCTTGAACCACCCTCCGGTAGACATGGCTTCAGCCCATACTTGCTGGTGAAATCCCCCAATTTATGACGTATTTCCCATTGGGAAAGTACCCAAAATCACCGAAAAACTCATCAACTGAGCTGCATCTCGTGGCTCGCGATGGAGCACGCGCACCAAGACGTACCTCGCGACATTTCGATGGGGGCTAGGTGAATAGCTCGGATGAGATTCCCTATTGCTGGGAAAGTATGGATAATCTATGGATAATCTATGGTTAATATATGGATAATCTATGGATAATCTATGGATAATCTATGGATAATCTATGGATAATCTATGGTTAATATATGGATAACGAATCTGCAATAATTCTAATTTCATCACTCGTGACGTGAGGTTGCGACGTGAGGTCGTTATTCAATTTATCCAGCTACGTCTGACTGATTTGCAAATTATTGTTTCCCACTGAAACAGTTACCACTCCAAGTTCTTTCTCTCCAGTTATGTTGAAGTTGCTTATTCAGTTTCCAACCATGAGTTGCTTACTATTATATACCATTATTACTATTCCTATTATTACTAGTACTATTCGTATCATTATATATATATTATATTACTATTACTATTACTATTACTATTCCTATTCTATTACTATTACTATTACTATTACTATTTATACTATTATATATACTATTGTATAGTAAATTATGATATTCCCCCAACGACTTCCCGACTTCGCATCCGCGCATCCGCGCACGTCTTCCAAGGGCCTAAGCGATAGCCCAAGGGCTGCACGCGCACCACGTCGCCCACACGGCACCTAGAGGAATTGTCACTGTCAAACTGTGAGTTCGGCAGAAATGACAAATTTAATGGGATTTTATGGTGGTTTTATGGGATTTAATGGGATTTACCCGGCCTGGTAAACGTTCACAAAAAACGAACTGGAAAGATCCACCATGCAAAAACAATGGTAAAATCCACGATTTCAAAGTGCCATGTTCAGTTCGCTAACTGTTGACATAACCAGAGGGTAACATAGCCATGACCATCCATGAAACCCATGGTACCCGGATGGTACCCCCACGGTACCCCTGGGTTGCCCAGGCTCAGAATGCTCATCATGGGCCCAAATCTGGCAGATTTGGGGCGCGATTGTTGAACGGTTCAACGAAAGCCTCCAAGTTCAGATAGTTGGTAAAATCATGTAAAATCCAATTCTGACATAGTAAAGTGTTCTTAGTGTTCTTTAAGTGTTCTTTTTGTTTGAGGCTTCATCAACAAAACAAGACAATGATATACAATGATCTTGATTTCCGCTATCAACAGCAGTTTTCTCAGGGGAGGTAAAAGAAATCTGTTTGAAACCAAGAAAAAAGTAATGTTGACAATTTAAAATTAAAAAAAGAAAACAAAGACCACAGATCTGACCCAACCATCGCATCTAAAATGATGGGTTCCCCTGAATTCCATAAAATCAGCTGCCGGGGGTTGATGGAGACCTACCCATGAAATAAGGGTTTTATATAACCACCAACAACACCCCCAAACCATAAAATGGAACTCAGAAGCTTCGCTTCGGAAGATGAAGTTGCCACGGACTTATGTCATCTTAGTGTTCCACGGTTGGGTGTTTATGTTACAAGTTGTATATAAATGATTTCTGGGTTTAATTACTAAGTTGGGGTTACTAAGTTCCAAACAGAATTTTGGAAAACGGTCAACACCCCAGAGCCGCTCCCGTTTTGTCGCTGCGGAAAGGGGCCTTCTTGGTGAAGCGAAAGGCCTTTTTGTAGCGCATGACCCACATGTACCTCACGGAGATGCGGAGCGCAAGCATCGCATCGCCAGCTCCAAGGGAGCTGCGATTGGGAGAATGGTGTGAAGTTGTGGATGTCATGGGATATTGTGAATGAACATATGTGTATGTATCTTATTTTTAGAGATATATAGCTTAACCAAAAAATTGATTCGTTTCCAGCAACAAATTCCATAGGATATTGGAGATGCCCAAATGTTGCAGCCCGGCCCAGGTGCCTATCGCACGCCACCCGGATAGTCTTGGGGTGCTTGTCATTGAGCACATAACCTGCACGGGGCTTCGAAAGGGGCAGATCCACTGATGGTCAATGGCTTTGCATACCGTGATCAGAAATCCAAGAAATAGATATATATATATATATGGACTCTATATATATATATGATATATGTAATATGTACATATATATATATATCATATATAAATAAATGGACTATCCCAATCATAAGTGACTTACAACGCCAGCTTTTCACGAAGCACTCAAAAATACAAAAACGGGATGATCCAACAAAAAGCCAACTTTTTTTCTCAACCTGACTGCGCTTTTTAGTGCACCCCAACCGCGTTTCGCAACTGCGCCACTGCGCCTATCATCTCATTGTTTGGCAACTTGTTGTTTTTCTCATAGATCCGCAGATATCCCGCTGTCTGCCTGCGGAGTTTCATCGCTGCTCACGAGCTGTCTCCAGGTGGTCATCATTGGTCGTTTTGCCCAAGAAAAACAAGACCCTGGGGGTGGAAAGTCGTCATGGGTTTAAACAAGCCTGAATGGAAAAAAAAATCAGAGTTGCTTCACAAAATTCCAGGCAGAAAGCTTTCATATCTGGGCAGGTGACGAGTTACTCAGTGCTTCACCAGTTTGATCCCCAAATCGGTCATCTTGTTGAGGTGTATATCCTACATCCCCATTGTCGATTGATATTGATTATATGTAAATTTATAATGTAATATGAAAATCCTTATTGATATATATATATTGGATATTGATTGATATTGATTATAAATTAAATCCTTATAAATTTCCACTTCTTTTGTTGGAATTTACATCCTTTCCCTTGAAAAACTCGCGCCACCTTTGCCAGAACTTGTAGTGCCAGGCGCGTCGGATGTTGGAGAGCAACAGCGCCATGGCCCAACGACGCGCGCGCGACCGAAAGTCACAGCAGTTCTGCGCTGAGCTATGAATCCTCTTAGCCTCTGGTGAAGGTTTACAAAAAACAAACTGGAAAATCACCATTTTTCATGGGAAAACTATGGAAAATCACCATTTTTAATGGGAAAACTATAGAAAGCCACCATGTTTGATGGGAAAACTATGGAAAATCACCATTTTTCATGGGAGAACTCACTATTTCTATGGCCATTTTCAATAGCCATGCAAATGTTTACCAGAGGGTATGAGCTAAATCAGCCTGAAAGTGCTGGAGAAAAAAACTTATGTTTAAATAATTCTAAATGGTTTGTAAAAAAAAATGATGGTATGTTGGGGAACAACAATACTGGGAGATTCTTCATCATTTTCCCCATCGCACTTGCCATTTGGGAGAATACAGCATACACCTTTTTCGGACACAGATCCGTCTAACCCATACAAAATGTGGACAATATCTTGAGTATTGTTTCCTGTAGCCATATTGACTGGGCAAGTGGAGCCGATGCTGTGTGCGAAAATACTGTCAGGTTCACTCTCTTGCTAAACCGCGGTCCAGTCATAGAATTTTTCGCCTATCAAAGCAGGTGATTTTCCTTAGATCATTTTCGTTGGGGAAAACCCACGGTTTATCTCACTAAAAACAAGAGTTGATGAAGAAAAACATCCGTTTTACAAACATATGATATGCCTATTGGGACCATGTTGGATGGGATATATGATATGATCAAAGGAAGTTTAGGGGGAGAAACTTCCGTGTTACGGACTTTTAGAATGTCAGGGAAAGAGTTAGTCAAAGAAAGAGTTAGTGAGGGAAAGAGTTAGTCAAACAAAGAGGTAGTCAAAGAAACAGTTAGTCAGGGAAAGAGTTAGTCAAAGAAAGAGTTAGTGAGGGAAAGAGTTAGTCAAAGAAAGAGTTAGTGAGGGAAAGAGTTAGTCAAAGAAAGAGTTAGTCAGGGAAAGAGTTAGTTGAAAGAGTTAGTCAAAGAAAGAGTTAGTGAGGGAAAGAGTTAGTCAAAGAAAGAGTTAGTCAAAGAAAGAGTTAGTCAAAGAAAGAGTTAGTCAAAGAAACAGTTAGTCAGGGAAAGAGTTAGTCAAAGAAAGAGTTAGAAAGAGTTAGTCAAAGAAAGAGTTAGTGAGAAACAGTTAGTCAGGGAAAGAGTTAGTCAAAGAAAGAGTTAGTGAGGGAAAGAGTTAGTCAAAGAAAGAGTTAGTGAGGGAAAGAGTTAGTCAAAGAAAGAGTTAGTGAGGGAAAGAGTTAGTCAAAGAAAGAGTTAGTCAAACAAAGAGTTAGCAAAGAAACAGTTAGTCAGGGAAAGAATTAGTCAAAGAAAGAGTTAGTGAGGGAAAGAGTTAGCAAGAAACAGTTAGTCAGGGAAAGAGTTAGTCAAAGAAAGAGTAGTAAAACTCTAGGATCGTTCCCTCACTGTAAATGGCATTGCAAGTGGTGCTGGTGGAGGAGTTGCCGATGGAGTTTTGGAGGAAGTCTCGCACGAAATGCGTTTTTGAGAGATAGCAGATGCACGAAACCCTATGTTTTTCCATACAAAGTCCGTCCCCGAACGTCGATGATCTACCTCTGCGGTGCGACGGGTGCGAGACGGTCTCGTGTGTGGTCGGATCATTCTCGGATATGTTCGGATCATCCTCGGATCATTCTCGGATCGGTTCCGCATTGTAAATGGGGTGTCAACTGTTTTTCGTGCATGTGTGGTCGACAGAATTCCATTGTGATTTGCAACTGTAGGATCGTTCCCGCATTGTAAATGGGGTTGCAAGTGTTGCTGGTGGACGAGTTGCTGATGGAATTGCATTGTGGTTTGCAACTTTAGGATCGTTCCCTCACTGTAAATGGCATTGCAAGTGGTGCTGGTGGAGGAGTTGCCGATGCAAGTGGTGCTGGTGGAGGAGTTGCCGGTGGAGTTTTGAAGGAAGTCTCGCACGAAATGCGTTTTTGAGAGATAGCAGATGCACGAAACCCTATGTTTTTCCATACAAAGTCCGTCCCCGAACCTCGATGATCTACCTCTGCGGTGCGACGGGTGCGAGACGGTCTCGTGTGTGGTCGGATCATGCTCGGATATGTTCGGATCATTCTCGGATCGGTTCCGCATTGTAAATGGGGTGTCAACTGTTTTTCGTGCATGTGTGGTCGACAGAATTCCATTGTGATTTGCAACTGTAGGATCGTTCCCGCATTGTAAATGGGGTTGTAAGTGTTGCTGGTGGACGAGTTGCTGATGGAATTGCATTGTGATTTGCAACTTTAGGATCGTTCCCTTACTGTAAATGGCATTGCAAGTGGTGCTGGTGGAGGAGTTGCCGATGGAGTTTTGGAGGAAGTCTCGCACGAAATGCGTTTTTGAGAGATAGCAGATGCACGAAAGCCTATGTTTTTCCATACAAAGTCCGTCCCAGAACCTCGATGATCTACCTCTGCGGTGCGACGGTTGCGAGACGGTCTCGTGTGTGGTCGGATCATTCTCGGATCATGCTCGGATCATTCTCGGATCGGTTCCGCATTGTAAATGGGGTGTCACCTGTGTTTCGTGTGGTCGACAGAATTCCATTGTGATTTGCAACTGTAGGATCGTTCCCGCATTGTAAATGGGGTTGCAAGTGTTGCTGGTGGACGAGTTGCTGATGGAATTGCATTGTGGTTTGCAACTTTAGGATCGTTCCCTCACTGTAAATGGCATTGCAAGTGGTGCTGGTGGAGGAGTTGCCGATGGAGTTTTGGAGGAAGTCTCGCACGAAATGCGTTTTTGAGAGATAGCAGATACACGAAACCCTATGTTTTTCCATACAAAGTGCGTCCCCGTACCTCGATGATCTACCTTTGCGGTGCGACGGGTGCGAGACGGTCTCGGGTGTGGTCGGATCATTCTCGGATATGTTCGGATCATCCTCGGATCATTCTCGGATCGATTCCGCATTGTAAATGGGGTTGCAAGTGTTGCTGCGGACGAGTTGCTGATGGAATTGCATTGTGATTTGCAACTCTAGGATCGTTCCCTCAATGTAAATGGGATTGCAAGTGTTGCTGGCGGATGAGTTGCCAATGGAATTCCATTGTGCTTTGTAACTGTAGGATCGTTCCCGCAATGTAAATGGCTGTGTCAAGGTTGCTTCGTGCTGTGGCTGTATTGGTAATACTATTGTCTTTTGCAGCTGGACTTTTTAAATCGTATTGGAGTGGCTGCATGAAGACTGCGACACTGATTTGTCAGTAGATTTTCTCCATTTTGGCGTTTGTGATTTTCTTTCTAAAAATCCTTTTAAAAAGTGTTTCAAAATCGTCTTTTTTTCGCTCTGGCGTCGAGATCCGGTTTTGGAGCTATAATTTCCGACGCCGTTGTGCGTAGTTCTATTGTGTTTTGCAACTCAGTCTCTGCAGATTACATTGTAGTGGTTGCGTCAAGGTTGCTTCGTGCTGTGGCTGCGTTCGTAATACTATTGTTTTTTGCAGCTAGACTTCGTAAATCGTATTGGAGTGACTGCATGAAGGCTGCGACACTGATTTGTCAGTAGATTTTCTCCATTTTGGCGCTAGTGATTTTCTTTTTAAAAATCCTTTTAAAAAGCGTTTCAAAATCGTTTTTTTTTCGCTCTGGCGTCGAGATCCGGTTTTGGAGCTACAATTTCCGACGCCGTTGTGCGTAGTTCTATTGTGTTTTGCAACTCAGTCTCTGCAGATCGCATTGTAATGGCTGCGTCAAGGTTGCTTCGTGCTGTGGCTGCATTCGTAATACTATTGTCTTTTGCAGCTGGACTTCGTAAATCGTATTGGAGTGGCTGCATGAAGGCTGCGACAGTGATTTGTCAGCAGATTTTCTCCATTTTGGCGCTAGTGATTTTCATTCTAAAAATCCTTTTAAAAAGTGCTTCAAAATCGTCTTTTTTTCGCTCTGGCGTCGAGATCCGGTTTTGGAGCTACAATTTCCGACGCCGTTGTGCGTAGTTCTATTGTGTTTTGCAACTCAGTCTCTGCAGATTGCATTGTAGTGGCTGCGTCAAGGTTGCTTCGTGCTGTGGCTGCGTTCGTAATACTATTGTCTTTTGCAGCTCGACTTCGTAAATCGTATTGGAGTGGCTGCATGAAGGCTGCGACACTGATTTGTCAGCAGATTTTCTCCATTTTGGCGCTAGTGATTTTCCTTCTAAAAATCCTTTTAAAAAGTGCTTCAAAATCGTCTTGCACAACAACAGTACGTGGTTGGACGACAAAGAGTCGGACGACGAAGTTCTCCGCAGACAATACCGTCATCTCTGGTACGCTTTGCGTTGCCACAAAACCAAAGCTCAGTGCGCAGAATGGCTAAACCGAGGACATCGCAGATTAAACCGACAAAAAATGAATGCGGCGGGAAGGATGTAAGGGAGGACGCAGACGATAGGATAGGCAGGCATCGTTGACGCAGGTTTCGAATCATTTGTGTTTTGGGTGGTTGGTTCAAATCGTAATTCCATCGTTCGTGCGGTTGTATGTTGATAACGTCCATAAAATGACCACCGTGACTTTGATTAGTGTGACCATACCTGATGTGACTGTTGCAGATATCAAACGATTCTGACCATGACTACTGTGACCTTAGATACTATGACAAAGACTACTTTGACAATGACCGTTGTGGCTGTAACTGTAGTGACAATGAGTATTGTAACTGTTTGGACTGGCCCCTTTTTAGGTAATGACAGTGGGAAGTAGAAGTGACGGCATTAGTGTCCCTGGTTGTGGCTTCAGTAGTAATGTTAGACGTCAGTCGGTTATGGCTCACAGAAACAGACATGATGTTTGTTGCCTACGCATGTGTTATGGGTAACAGAAACAGACATGATGTGTTTTTGGTACATATGCATTCGAGAAATGCCATTGCTAACACATGTTTCTGCTTCAAGTAATTGAGAAAGAATTGTTTTGGACATGTGAGCAACTTGTGGTTCCACTGTTCGTTCGGTGTTTTGGCCCGCGGACATGATTATTGTCTTAGATCATAAGGATGTGAATCTCACCATTATTCTTGTTTTAGAGCAGCAACTCGTAGTCTTCTCACAGGCCTGGCATGCGGGTATGCAGTTAGGTGCTGCCTGTGTGACACATGTTGTCTGTGAGGACAGGGTCGCACATGCCACTCTTGCAGAAGCCCAACGTGGTTTAAGTGATTAATTACCATTGTCCGATCCCTGTAGTTCACCACTACAACCACGTGGCCTCTCACAAGACACGCACGCGGGTATGCAGTTATGTGCTGCCTGTGTCGCACATGTTATCTTTGAGGATGGGACGCAGACGCCACGGTTGCACAAGCCAAGCGTAGTTTAAGTAATAAATTCCCATAGTCCGATCCCTGTAATTCACCACTATAACCACTTGACTTTGCACAGGCATTGGATGGCCATGTGTTGTGCATGACGTGCTGGTCGCTGATGGGTCAAGGACACCATCAGCGATTGGGATCGACTCTCGCTTGACTGCCAAGGGCTGGGTGTGCGTTGTTATGAACCGCATCCGAGTTTGAATTGCTGTCCTTCAGTAGATTCGCCTTTCATTTAGCCTTGCGAACCGCAGAATGCCTCTGTCACTTGCTTTTGGTTTATGTGTGCGTTGTTACGAACCGCACAAACAACCATGATCGTATTGCATACATGTGAAAAAACAAAGCTGTCATGGGAGCGAGTCAATGCAAGCTCTCACTGAGATCCTCTCAATGCCTTGTGCAGCATGGGTTGGAGTTTTGTGGTTTGTTGAATGTATGACTTTCTGGGCCTTTTTTTTTCAGACATCAGACCCAAAGCCCTATGATTTTCTCCATTTTGGCGCTAGTTTTTTTTGTTGCACGTAAGTTTAGAGCAGTTGGACGTGTGGGGCGTGAAGTGTGGAGTGTGAAGTTTAAGTGTGGAGTGCGAAGAGCGCAGTGTGAAGTGTGAAGTGTGAGGTTTGGAGTGTGAAGGAAGCAGTGAGAAGTGTGAAGTGTGGACTGTGAAGTGTGAAGTGTGAGTGAAGTGTGAAGTGCGAAGTGAGAAGTGTGAAGTTTGGAGTGTGAAGGAAGCAGTGAGAAGTGAGAAGTTTGGAGTGTGAAGGAAGCAGTGAGAAGTGAGAAGTGTGAAGTGAGAAGTGCGAAGTGAGAAGTGTGAAGTGTGAAGTGTGAAGTTTGGAGTGTGAAGGAAGCAGTGAGAAGTGAGAAGTGTGAAATGTGGAGTGTGAAGTGTGAAGTGTGAAATGTGGAGTGTGAAGTGTGAAGTGTGAAGTTTGGAGTGTGAAGGAAGCAGTGAGAAGTGAGAAGTGTGAAATGTGGAGTGTGAAGTGTGAAATGCGAAGTGAGAAGTGTGGACTGTGAAGTGAGAAGTGTTAAGTGTGGACTGTGAAGTGTGAAGTGTGAAGTGTGGACTGTGAAGTGTGAAGTGTGAAGTGTGGACTGTGAAGTGTGAAGTGTGCAGTGTGAAGTGTGAAGTGTGAAGTGTGAGGTTTGGAGTGTGAAGAAGCAGTGAGAAGTGTGGAGTGTGAAGTTTGAAGTTTGGAGTGCGAAGAGTGCAGTGTGCAGTGTGAGGTGTGGAGTGTCGAGGGAAGGACACGGTCGGGACAGGGTGTCTTTGAACTATAGGTCATTTATGTTTGGAAAACTTCCGCCGCCGGCTTGCCCGGGTCTATGTTATAATATCCCAACTTCAATTTTTTCAATGTTGGTGCCATCATCCTTCAGTTCCGTATTTACTCATCCTTCTGCTGGCCATGCAGGGCATCTGTTCTGAGGGCATCAGGCTGCAGGTGGACCAGGGCAGTGGGGACATTGGCAATGTCTCTTGGTGGAACGTCCGATATGTGCGTATGTATGTAAACGTAGTGTGTATGTATGTATATGGGTTCGATTATACCATATAACGATATAGAATATCATGGTGTATCGTTTTGTATCATATTATACCATATCCATTCATATCGCATGAAATATCCACATGCAAAAATAGTTGGCAAAATCCAAATTTTCGGTAGGGAATGCCCCCATTGATCATTTCAAGCTGATGTTGGAAATATCAAACACACACACAAAAAAAAAATGAATATGTTGCAATCCCCGGCCATATTGGGTGCATTCCCATTATTCACTATCGCTTTTGGTGTGGTAACAACTGAAATCGATGGTGGTGTTAATCAAAGTACATAATTGCAAAAAAAAATGATCCTAAATCCTCAAGATGAAGAGTGGATCTGTAGTGTTCCTTCTTTTGAAGAAATTCTAACACATGGTCATTTGTCCAGATGAATGTCTTATGCTTCGGCCATGTTTTCTTCCGAGTGACGCTGCGGCAGCCGCAATGGATGGCACTCGCAACCAACGATTTGGGCCTGTCACCGCTGGTCATTCTTTGATCTGAAACCAACTAACCCTTGGTAATTTCAACATAGCTATGGAAAATGGCCCATTTAATAAGTACCCTCTGGTAAACGTTCACATAACTATGGAAAATCACCATGCTATGAATAGGTAAATCCACTATTTCTATGGCCATGTTCAATAGCTATGTAAACGTTCACCAGGCCGGATACCTAATTTATCCTAATTAACCCATCAAAACGGGAGATGTTCACAACTTTTTTAGAGAAACCATAGCGAAATGTGACAGAGCCCCGGCACAATCCAAGTTGTGATGTTGGAAATGTACACTTGGATTGGGATAAAACAGGATTAAATATTTTTAAAAAAATACTTGGATCAGTATCTCTTCAAATGTTTGAATTAGGGTTTTAAAAAAATACAGATCCACATCGGTCCACACACCTTCCCGGCCTAACTAAGGCTTGGCTGAAATCCACCGCATCGGCCATCAGGCGCCGCCATGTTTTTCCGCTGCGACTCGTACAATGGTTGGCACCGCCACTGCGGATCAGAAAGGATCAAATCTATGGGGGGTTCACCTGGGATCCCCTTGGTGAGTGCATCTCGAAAATGCTACCGCCCATGAAAATGTTGAAATGATACCCAGACCCAAATCGTTAATTTGTGTAAACACAGGCAGGAGTGATTGATTATGCACCTGCAATGACTCTCCCAGGTGCAATTTGCAACAATTTTGGCTGGTCCAGCATCAACTGTGCGATGTACATCTTGTAGCTACCCATCTTTTTATGAAGCAGATATTTCAATAAAAATTTTGTTGCTGATATCACCAAAAAGCAGATTCACCAAGTGGGTTTTCATATGTTTTCATGGCGAATCTTCGATACTTCTGGTAAAAAAAGCCAGAAGGTCGGATATCATTTTTCCGTGTCTTCCTTTACATTGCAAAAAATAAATTCCAGAAAAATGGTCTGCTTGGTTTTTCACCGGAATCTTGGTTGAACCATCTCTGAGGCTCGTGTGACACAATTCATGGTGGATTTCATGGGTTTTAATCATGGGGATCAACCATCCAATTTTCGGGGTTACACTAATGGCTACACTGGTTTCCATGTTGGGCCACGTTGATGAGTTGAAATATGTTGAAATTCAGAAAGGGAGAACTCCGCAGTGGCTGCGGAATTTGGATTTTTGAAAGTGAAACTCCAAAAAAAACCGCCCTGCGCTGCTGCGAATGGCGCTGGAAGGCCCCAGAACTTTCATCACCAGAATGAGATAACATGTTTCGTACCCAAGCTGCTTGAAAAATCACTGTGGGTTAAACCCCAGGCCGGTCCAATGTGGTTTTTAGTTTCAAAAAATGTAAGATCGGATTGTGTAGATCTTCAAACTGACCCGGACATTTACAGTTCTGGATGCCCATTTTTCGGGTTGGTCGACCCATGGATATGAGTCAAATCATTGACTCTCAAGAATGGATGGTCTAATACTAACCATGATACTAAACATAAGAGCTTGTGCAATCCATAGTTTCCAATCATACTTGTGAATCATCAAATCTGCCGGCGTTTTTTTTAATGCACATCATGAAATTTGGGTCCATTCGCCATGCAAATTAAGCACAACAGTCACATGTTCTGGGCACCATGTTTCACGCATCGCCAGAGACGTCTCTACTTCTCAGACGGGCTTGGAATGGGCCGGGCCATGGCATCCTTGGTGGCTCCCTGGTGGTGGAAAGGTAAAATCTCCATCCAGGATGGTAAGGCAACCTATAATTTTCATGTGGCAGATATAAATACCCATTGTGTTGTTCGATTTCACTAAAATGTTTTATTGGACAATGATCACTATCCGACAATGATCTGAAAGGTCCCAAAAGTTTGGGTGGTTCCCTTCACGTGAAGTGTAAAAAAAGCGTGGAAGATGATGGACCAAGATGATGGACCAAACCCATCCCGAGTGATCTCACAAGTTCTGGTAGAGCTTCAATATGCTAATGGTGCATACTTTTGAAGTGACAATATAATTTTGTCCGTGGTGAAACTCTGGTGATTGCCATGTTTTCACCCAGAAAAGTTTCCTACACATTGACAATGGCCATATGGTAATGGATCAAAAATCAATGGTGGATCAAAAATTAAGGCCCGACAAAAAAAAACACATATTTCATTCATTCTTAGTATGAGACGCATCCAAATTTAGGGGCGTCTACTTTGAACCATAAAATCCCCATCTGTTCAAAAATCTTATCCTCAGCAACTCGGCAATACTCGGCATCCGGCGTGCACCAAACGCGGAGTCGGACATTGCCTCGTCACGAAACTTCGGGCGGAGATTCATACCCTCCGGTAACTTGGCTGGGAAATGCCCCAACTCAACTGGCATGAAAAAAGGAAAAATTCATCTAAAAATGGAGGGATTGCTATGGAATTGCAGCCTTTTTTTGTGATAATTTACTGATTTAAGAATCATGGATTTCCCATAGCTATATTAAATTGAAAATCAAGAAAGATGGTTGGAACAACCATCTAGTCTACATATTCAAGTCCTGTGGTCAACTACTGTAGTTGATGATGAGTCTATCCCTCCCTTATTCTATCTTTGTAGATCTGCATGCTCTAACTACGTTGTTTACCAAGCAAGTTGGGTTGAAGGGCCTCGTCTCTCCAAAATGGATATCAAAATGGTGTCCCTTTTGTGGGGCAGACACCTTGTATGTCACAACAGACCAACAAGTTTGAAACATCTCTCCGAAATTGCATTTTTTTTGTAGTTTGCATTCCCCCGGTCCTCCGGTCGCGATACTTGATCTCAAAAAATCGAAACCTTTAGCACTTGAATATTGTGGATCCATATTCAACTCAAACATTGGGTTCAGATCATGTGTTCGTGCTCGGTGTTGAGCAAAGATTTCACAGTTTCCCGGTTCCATGGATAGAACTATCAGCCTTGATACACGTTTCATACATGGAAGTTGCTAATGTTGCTATGAATGGCTGATTGGATTTGTTCCAAAATAGGGTACCGCACGCTTTTCCATGAGGCTTAAAACGTGATTTTCCCGAAATAAACGGCCAAACTGTTTTTCCCCAACAACTAAATGGTTTTGCGCTGTTGCGCGGCACCGTCAGAAGAAGGTGACAAACTAAAGGGCGAAGGTGGCCTTTGCTGATGCGATCTGTTTCTGAAGTTCCATCTCAAGTCCGCCACTGTCTGGTGGGAAGCCAAATATTTCACTGAACTGAAGCAAGGTCTCGCCTTTGTTGGAGAGCTTGGGGCCTTTGGGCAGATTCTAACTAAGCCAAGAATCGTTCAATGTGGAAGCAAAAAGACCCCGACCCCAGGGCGCATGGGTATACAGGAGCTATCTTCCCATTCTCGCCCCTGTGGGTGGGGGTTGGTGGGGTAAGTAGTAGTTAGTAGTAGAGAGTAGCAATTGGTGGACAGAATGGGTAGTTGAAGGCGGACGGGCGCCGTCGGGTTCACGGCAGACGGCATGGGCGGGTGGGTCTCGGTGGTGTCTCTGTGGTCTGGTGTCTCGGCGGTCTGTCGCTGGTGTCTCGGTGGATTTTGGTGGCACCTCGGCGGTGTTGCGGTGATCGCATTTGATGCTGAAATTTACAAGGAAAATGCCGGATGCTTCCGATACCAGCTCCATTTATCGTAAGAACCCCTTCAGTGTGGCCACACTACTTGAGGAAAAAAATAATCAGCAGTTTAAGATTCTGGATATCTTCACTTTAGGCTGGTGGGATTATGTGGGATTTCACTACTCGTCACTGTCCGTGGAAGTCAGAAGGATTTGCCTACGAGGAAGCACCAAAAAACACGACCCCTGCTGAGAGAAGGCACTGTCTAGCCGGTGATGCATCTTGCCAAGTGTCTGACATGAATGTCCAAAATTTGTTTCTATCGCTTTTTTGTCTGCTTCAAAATTCCAGTAATAAACGATAAACGTCTGCGTTCTCAGGGGACAAGGGGGCCACATCGTTTGAAGCCTCCATGGCACATCATGACACCAACCATAGTCGATGATGGCAAGCTCTGGCTCATGTACTGAAAAAAAACGAAGTTTAGCTCCAAATAGTTCCAGCTCAGTCAACTTCGGCTCCCTAAATTCCCTGCGATCTCCACGGTCGGTGATGTCTCGCTAGTCTCTTGGTGGGTCTCTCGGTATCTCGGTGGTGCCTCGGTCATCATTTTCCCGCCGGAAACTGCAATTTTATGGGTATGGTATTTTTGTCATTTATGGCTTTGGACCCAAAATTATGGTGTACCCCCAACTTAATTATATTTTGTGATCATCTTCCCAATAAAAACATGAATATGTGGTGGATAGATATAGGAACCCCTAAACAGATAGAAAGGCAATTTCTCAATCCGTTTTTGTTTTTACTTGTTCATCCTCTTGGGGTTGTTATATTTCATTTTCAGACAATCCCATTTGTTCATCGCGGCGAGCGATAGAAGCGCGCCTACTTTGCGTGTGATGCGGTGGGAAGGTCGGCGTCAGCGACCGCATTGCCTCGTAGTCGTCCCACAAAGGGAGTCCCAAAGGTCCATATGGGTATACTAACATCCCTTAATGAACATGGTATATCATGGTATATCATCCAACTTTTGACTGTATTTTGTTATATAATATATATATATATATACTGGTTGGTGGTTGAGCCCTACCCCTCTGAAAAATGATGGAGTGAGTAACAGTTGGGATGGTTATTCCATTCCCAACTGAATGGAAAATCATAAAATTCATGGAACCAAACCACCAACCAGTATATATATATATATAAAGAGTCTCACACTGACCTCTCTTTTACATCCACTCCGCAGCAGATTGTTGAAAAATAGAAGAAAATCTTAGGTTCAAATCATGCAAAATTTAAGGAGTGTAAGCTCGGCCAGACCCGCAGCTACACCTGTCCCTCATCTCCCAGATGGTGTTGGGCCAGACCCTCCTAACCATCCAGTCGAGACTGAAGAATCATTCGGTTCAAACCTTCAATTTAGATCACGATCGCCCATCAAGCGAAAAAAGTTTTTCCCCCTTTCGTTTCTTAGCCCTTTTGGGCTTATCTTTGCCCTTCTTGGGCTTCGTTCCTCCCGAAAAACAATGGGAGGGGGGTGAGGGGGGTGAGGGAGCTTAAGCCAAAACACTGGGGAGGTAAAAAAGGTGGTAAGTGGATACTCTTTAACCCCGGGGCCGTAGGGACAAAGAGTCTCACACTGACCTCTCTTTTACATCCACTCCGCAGCAGATTGTTGAAAAATAGAAGAAAATCTTAGGTTCAAATCATGCAAAATTTAAGGAGTGTAAGCTCGGCCAGACCCGCAGCTACACCTGTCCCTCATCTCCCAGATGGTGTTGGGCCAGACCCTCCTAACCATCCAGTCGAGACTGAAGAATCATTCGGTTCAAACCTTCAATTTAGATCACGATCGCCCATCAAGCGAAAAAAGTTTTTCCCCCTTTCGTTTCTTAGCCCTTTTGGGCTTATCTTTGCCCTTCTTGGGCTTCGTTCCACGTCCCCCTGGCCTTCCCTGTCTTCGACAGGGAGGCTCAAGTGTTTTGAAATTCGGGGAAGAAACAAATTTCTGGAAAACTTTCAAAAAAGGAGCTAGTGATGGATGAGTAGGTGGTAAATGCAGCTCTGCGAGCACTGCTAATCCTTCATTGATATATGTTCTGGCAGTCTTTGGCGCTTGCCAGCGCCCCTGAAGGAGGATCTTGTCAAGCGAATGGTGGCGGCCAAACCACCAAGTCGCACCTCCACGTCTCAAACTGTACGGTCGAAACTGGTACTGTTGAAGCTTGAGGGTCTCTAGACATTGATTGAACAATGCACGCCATTGGGCGGGGCTAGTGGCAAACCCTGAGGTCGAAGAAGCAATGGCCTTCCATTGTACAAGGAAGTTGACAACCAAGTCGTATCCAACAACACAGGACTCAGCGGCGCCCAACCGCTTACCGCCTTTAGTTAGGCCCAATGAAACAATAACTTTGGATTGCTGCCGGTCACATAGGAGATGACAGGATTTAATCCCTAGCAACTCTCCTGTACGTAACATTGCATAATAGCCAAGCATTAATGACACTCCAAAGCTGTAATGTTGATTGAAGAATGCCCAGCCCACCATTGCGTGCAGTACATGTTCAGGCAAAGGAGGTGCCCTGTTGGGCACTTCATTCAAACTCCAGGTTTTCAACAGTCTCCATGCACCCTGCAAATGTCCCCGTAGCTTGGCATCTTGATCTTGGAGCCCAGCCACGGTGTCGCTGGCCTGGGCCCTCCCATATCCGTGGGACCACAGGTGCTCCAGAAAATCACAAACCAATGGGTCTAGCTGAGTGCGTTGTTTGGGTAAGACTAAGTTGTTTTGATGCAAAAATCTCAGGAACTCATCAATGGCTTTATTGTACCGGGCTTTTGTAGCTGGCTGCACTGTCAAGTCCCGTAGGGGACCAAGTCGTTGGCGTTGTTTTGCTCTCTCAGACTGTGACCCTCCCTCGAGGATACGTTTAGGCATGTCTAAACTTGGTTTTGACCTTCCTCCCCCACCGACTTGGCTTGTCGGCAGGGTTCTGGTCAGTGTGGACGTAGCCCCATAGGGCCTGGGAGGAACTGCACAGTAAGAGAGCATTAATCTTTGCCAACGACGAACGAAGCTTGCGGCTACTGGAACGGCCGCGGGACAAAGCATGGAGGACAACGAGGGAGTCCACCAGATGAATGAAACGGTGGCCCACCTGGCCCCGATGCTGTAGTCTCCACTTGAGGGTGGTAAGGACAGCACGAAGTTCCAATGAATTGATATGCTCCTTTGAGCCTGTCCATGTCCACCCGGATACCACGCGCCACTTCCACAGCCGGGATGGCACAGATGTTCGCAGCCTCTGGTACTTGCAGAGCTGGCTGGAGGGCGCGCTAAGCATGATATCTTCGCCTTTAACACTAATCATGTTCGAAAGTTTTTGTACCAGCAAGGGTCCGCAATCGGGAGCATTGCCTCGCAAGGGCTGGAGGGGCCGCCTCCAGAGCCGGGATTGCAGGAACACTCGCCCATCAGGAGTCATCAAATTGACCAACTCCTGTGGTGTGTACTTTGGGCAGAGCCCAAGAGTGCCAAAGAGCTGAGCCAGCAGCCAAGAGACTACTTGTACCGACCATGAGTTGCCAATGAGAGTGTGCCGTGCATCGCTATGTTTTGTGGTTCCGCGAGATTGCTTGTTGACGCAGTTCATGGTATAGCCAACTGGGAATCCCATGATGAATTCCTTTTCTTCAATTGACGGAAGACGGACTTCTCCACCTCGCCCCACGAGCAGGTTCCGGCGTGCGTACTGATAAGGAGGATAGCGGTAGCTGTCCAGCTCCCATCGGCGGATTTCCTCCTGAGTGCACTGCGCCAATCCTGCTGGCCGGCGACCCGGCAAGGCCCTCGGCCTAGAGGTGGTAAAGGTGGGGTAAGGTCGGGTAGGATCAGTCTTGATCCACCCTTCCTGACACACCTCTTGGAGGTCCTGAAAGGCTGTAAGCTGAACCTCCTGTGGCACACTGTCAAGGTGATGTAAGCCAGGGAACCGTGGCCTACTGCACCAGGAGATTCCACCAGCATCACATCTCCACGGTAGGCACCCAAAGGCCTCGGACATAATGTTGCGATCCCGTTCATCCATAGAAGCAACGCTTTCCATGAGGCCATGGACTTGACTCCATGGAAAGTGCTTACGAACGAGATCCAGTACCCTGGGAACATGAAGAAACAAGCGGGATCGCTCATCCTTGAGTGCTCCTTTGCGGTCGGCGTTGAGTCCGCTGACGCCCTGACAAGGAGGGCCACCTCCTACGACCACTACGGATACCTGGGAGTAATCACGTGCCCACTCCCGCACCATTTGTTCGTTGATGTCCTCTACCCGAGGAACATGGCGGGCCTCCGGAAATTGGCTTTCGACCACACGAATTGCAGTGGGGTCAGCTTCACGTGGCCAGCCATCTGCAACCCCAAGAGGTCCATCGCCACTCGGAGGGCCCCAATTCCATCAAACAAACCAATTGAAAGAACCTGGTGTTCCTGGCGTAACTCCGGAAGCTCACCTCGGAGTTTACCTTCACTAACCAGGGCACCCCACCGCGTGGTCCCCGCTGATGCACAGATTCCACCTCCCGAACAGGAAGCGTCACTGCAAGTGACCTGGGAGTGGAAAGGCAGCCTGAAGTTAAGACGTGCCAGGGGAATCAGGCTGACGAGGCGCATAATCTCCGCTTTGATTGTTGGCGGAAAGGGTCGAAGCTGAGGCCCATCATTGCTGAAGCTTTCGATAAGTTGCCAGACCGGGTTGAGAGACCCAAGGAGGGGGCGGCGAAACATTGAAAAGTACACCAGCCCTCCACACACGACCTGTAATTGTTTTTGGGTGACCTTCTCCTGGTCCATCAAGGAGAGAGCTGCCGAAATGTACTTGAGAAGTTTACTTTCTCGCGGATATGCCACTCCCTCCTGACCGTCGACCTGGGCCCCCTGGACCTCCGCCCGCACCTGGCGACTGACGCTCTTCTTGAGGTTACGTGGGACCTCCCATAGCTCATATTCGTTTCGAAGCGCCAGAGCCGATGGGGCAAGGCTGCCAGCCATTCCGTTGACCCCTATGCTTTCCACCTTCTCGAGGAGGTCATAATTGTCTAAGTAAATCCTCCAGCTTGGGTTGTGCTGTGTCAGAGAACGGTCCTTCCGAATCTCCGCCTCAGGAGGATTCACTGCATCATGGGGGTCTTGCCCGGAGCTCCACAGGGCCAGGTTCCGGTGGACATGCTGGGCTAGTGAAACTGAATTCAAGAACCCCATTGGGAGAACCCGAGCTGCCAGATATGTCTCTCTGCCCTGCAGGTGAGGAGCCAAACAACAGTCTGGCACCCTCTTGTTGAAGGCTAGATATTTATGCCAGGCAAGTGGTACTGCCATCGTATAAAAGAAACAGCGGACATCCTCGCTGCTGATTAGCAAATTCTCACTTGGCTGCAGGAAAAACGGGCTCATTAAGCTCCAAGCAGGCAGTGTTTCAACGTCACCTCTTAAAGGGTGAGCAAGATGATTCAGTGGGATCAAGTTCATGATCAACCGAAAAACTTCGGTGTCGCCCACCCATTCATCTTTAGTGACCCCAAAAAGGCCATTGAGCAGGGGCCCCTGCCCAGTATCAAAAACCTCCTCAACTGGCAGCAGCATGCATACCCCGGCACGAACGAGGCCCTGGCACACTGCAGCCCAATGCTCATCCCTGACCATCACACGAGGGGGTTTCTGTAAGATCCACGAGGAACGATCTTTAATAAAGGAGTCGAAATTCATTACGTAGTGACGAGCTCCTAGGGTACACACCTCTTCGAGTGGAACCCTCCCGATTTCCTCGGGGAGGGCTGGCGCAATATTTGCCCAAGAAAAGGTCCTTGCCGTACGAACTTCATCCCCTTTATAATCGATACCTCTAGTGTTGAAAAACTCACCCCATGAAAACTGTTCCACCGTGCCCTCCATCTGTTGGAGGCGAGCAACATCCTTAAGCAGGAGTCGCAAACATTCCTCAGTTACCTTTGAAACCTTGCCATCATAGTGAAGCTCACCACCCCACAAGGAATTGAGAGAGGTGCAAATAGCCATCATCCAAAAAACAGAAGGCGAATCCAAGTCAGGGAAAACTTCAACCAAAGAGCTCCTAGAAGTGGGTAAAGGAAAAATGTCCTTTGACTTCCGTTTACCCATGGCCGAGCTGCGGAGTGTTAAAACTTCTAGCAGCCTCTGGTGAACATGCACTCCCAACTCATGAATTTTCAAACCACTCAAACTATTTGATCCATCTTTTTTGCGCTCATCGGACCAGGCTACGATCCCGGTCTCTGCCTGATGGGCGTTGCCATCGTTGGCAGATGAAACAAAAGGTGCCGGAAAGGTCTCGGCCTGCACCCCTCCCGGATTACACATGGGAGGACTTGTTGGAAAAAGACAGAGGGTCTTCTGGCTCTGCACTAAACGCTGAACCTCCTCTGTAGGTGATGGGAGCCCAGGGCGGCCCAAGCCTGCCCGTTCTCCCGCAGTGAAACTAGCAGCTCCTGTGATAGCTTCAGGAGCCACTCCTGTCAAAGTCTCCACCCTCCCGCTGTAAGTTTGCCTGGGGGAGTGAATCACCTCTTCTCCTTTCCTTTCCCTTTCTGATTCTTGCTGTCCTTCGGCTGGTCGTCCTTCTTCCAAGGCTCTCTGTCTCCTTTCTGCTGCCCCTTCCCCTTGCTCTTGCCATCTCCTTTGTACGCGCTCGCACTCTGGGACTGCCACCTCGTTTTTGCCTCCTCGAAGTCCTCCTTCCTGGCATGTTGTAGCTCTGTGCGCGCTGCCAGTCCTCCCGTGTCTCCAGGGAGAATCTCCATCCTTTGGGCGATGCTCCAGCTTGTGCCGTGGCAGACAGCCTCCTGCGCCTTTAGACGCTGTGCCAGGATGTCGGCCGCTGCCGCGACTTTGCCTCGCAACAGGCAGTCGAGCGCTGCCGACAAGTTCAGGAGCTCTCGGCTCTGCGCGCCGGTGCTCCTTTTTGCCAGCACACTCCTGAAATACAGGAGTGCAATCGGGCGCACCGCTGTATCGTCCATTTCCTCGCCCGACAACGTCAGCAAGGACCTCTTCATCGTGGTGATCGCCTCTGTTGTCAGTGCCCCCGGGAAGCGCTGAGCCACCCCCTTGACTTTGGTCTCCTCCAGGAACACTGACTCGGGGCCCTTGAAGTCCTCCACTGTCGAAGGTGAAGAGCTGTCGCTGCTGTCCTCGGACCCACTGCTGGTCTTGCTCTTTTTGCTCGCGATGAATTTTTGGGCCCTTGAAAGGACTCATCGACGCACCCTTTCTTTGGGATCGAGACCGGTCCCTGCGAAGAGGCTCTTGAGTTCTTTCTCCAAGGCTTTGGATGCATGACGTCCATCCAGGATATCTTTTTCTTTTTTCTTGGCTCTCTTCTTTTTCTTCTTCTTGGGCACGCTCTCCTCCCTTTCTGACTTGGGAGACTCCTGACCTCCCGTGCCGTCTCCTGCAACCCTGGTCTTCTTCCTCTCGTCCGGCTGGTTGGCTACAGCATAGGCTCTCGCCCTGAGCCCCCTCATCTCGTCGCCCTCTTCTCGTTCCGGCTCTCCGCCTTCCAAGTTGGAGGTCCAGCCCTCGTCTCCTCCAGGATTCAGCCTTCTGCCCTTCACTGCATGTAACAGGTAGTCCCCTGTTGTCTGCTTGCCGCATCCCTTCGGGCAGATGTGACACCGGAAGGGTTGCTGAGGGCGGGCTGTGGATGCTTTCAGCACACCCTCGCTCGTAGTCCCTCTCGCCTTCAGGAGCACCGACACCTCGCCATCCTCCACCTCGAGCTTGATGATGCTGCCAGCTATCTGCGCGGGGGCCCCAAAGTAGTCCCCCTCGGTGACTACCAATGAGCACCCTGGGCACAATGCTAATGGAGGGACATCGCACAGTGGTCCCTCCAGTCCTCGCTCCCAGAGAGTCCCCCGTCCGTGGACAGCCGGGCGCCTGAGCACTCCTCTCCTCAATCTGGTGGCCGGCCGGTGCAGAGCCACCGCTCCGGCTTTGGCCTTGGCTTTTACCTTGGCTTTTGGAGCCATCCTCACCAGCCTTGGTCTCTACGCCGAGGCTTGCCTTCTTGCCAGCCCCGAAACTGTCTGCCTCGCTCCCTTCTCTTGACGCATTTGTTGTTCTTCTTCCTCTTGCCAAGTCGCTGGCGCTCCTCTTTGGGGGTTCGAGGCCTGCGCACAATTGGCGGCCGCTCAGGAGACGGGGGCTCTGCGCACTCCCTTCCCCTCCTGTCGCCGGTGTCCCTCCCAACCTCGCCGTCGTGGGACCTCTTGTGACGGCCTGCTCCTGAAGAACCCTTAGGAGCCCGGGGGGAGGGATGCCTACGGCGATCTACCCCGCGTCGGTGTTCGCTGGGCAGTCGCTCCTCACGCTTCTCTCTGTCTGCCTTTGCTGCTTCTAGCCCACAATTCCTCAACTGCAATGCCTTGCTCAAATAGTGGGGGTCACACCTGTCAGGTGTCCTGGCGGGATGCAGGATCACGCCGTTGCGGTGCTCCACGGCCACCCGCTCCGGCCCCTCAGCCACACCCCCCTTTGGAGAACCAGCTTGATCCTCCAGCACCTCCTGGTCTCCTTCTTTTCTTACTTGCTCACTCTTATCGGCGTCCTCCTTGTCTGACTTCTCAACTTCTTTTTCCTCCTCTGCTTCGTCCTCGAGATAGCTGTATTCGGTCTTGTCGGCCTCGCTCTTTGCGGTGGAGTGAGGCTTGCCCTTGGACCCGGGGGGTAGGTCCCTTGTCTCCCCCTCTGGAGCTTCTACGCCCTTGGAGTTTCCGGCTCCTACTGTCTGACCAATTTCAATCAGGTCAGATAGTTCACCAGCTGCCCCTCTGAGCAAGCTGGTCACCCGCCTTTCCTCGGCAGGTGGAAGACCTCCTGATTGAAGGAGGCTAAGGATCCTTTGACCTGCCCTGCAAGCCCCACAAATCGGACCACTGAAAGTCCGACAAACCGTGCAAGACATCAAGAGCTTAAGCCAAAACACTGGGGAGGTAAAAAAGGTGGTAAGTGGATACTCTTTAACCCCGGGGCCGTAGGGACATATATATCACAATTATATCTCCATAACTATCCCATCGAATCCACAGTTTTGATGGTCAAATCCCACCAACTTCCGGATTTTCCCATGAACAGACCTCCAGTTCTTCAGGTTTCCCAAGTCGTGGGGGGTACCCCCAGTCATCATCCACTTTAGATTGGGATTTTCCATTCTGAACCATCCATTTTTGGGTATCCCCATGGAACCCCCCATGTAGTTCCAGCAGTTTGAAGGAAGCCACCGGCGCCTGTTTCTGCTGGGCTCGGCGGATCAGGAGCTCCATACAGATCAGAAAGCGCTGCGACACCTGCAGACTCGTCTCACCGGGTGGGGAGCGAAATCCTAAGCGCCAGTTGATATTGTAGGTGGTTTATACCACTATTTCTAGGGTTGAAAACCATCCCTTAATGGTGCAGGATTTCTTAAGCCACAGTTTTTCTCTGGAAAGTTGGATGTATGCCAGTTGCGTAGCATCAATCTTGGGAATTCATCAAACAATTGGCATATTGGGTTGTCCAGTCCCCTTTCAATCAGGGATTTCTTCCTGAAACATAGGAAACTGCTGGCAATTTTGAAGATCTGGATCATGGAATAGTGTCTCGTATATCTTGATAGCCAAAAGAAAATGGGACATCATCAATAAGAATTCCATGTAGAGGGTGGTCAACCAGGATGGAAAACGAACCTTGAAGACGTGGCACTTTGGGAGAGGGGGGAGTTGATCGACGTGTCCCATGGGGGCTCTCCATTGATCGACCAAACAGTGGCTTCGTTTACAAAGCACTTCGGAAACGGCTTACCCTCTGGTAAACTAACATAGCCATGGAAAATCACCATTTTTAATGGGAAAACTCACTATAAATGGCCATTTTCAATAGCTATGTTAAATTACCAGAGGGTAGTTCGCCCTTCCTGAAATCATCGAAAATCCTATCTGTTGCAAGTCTTGACGAAGTAAACCACGTCTCGCACCTGGTGGTAAATACTATCTCCACTAAGCCTGCAAGTTTCATACAAAGGGAAATTTGAATAAGATTGAACTGACCACTGGGTGCGCTCTGTTCATTGGAGCGGGACTTTGTCAAGTGCCAATTTGGGCGCCGCTGGGAATAAATTGTGTTATGTCAAGTTTTTGATGGTTCAATCCTCGTTTTTCCCTCTCCAAAGCAGAACATCAGAGACAAGAAAACATGTTTTAATATCCTGGTTGTATTTTTTTGCAAGGGTTCCACTCCTAAACACTTACCCTTTTTGGAGGTTTCATTGGTTTCATTCATGTCAACTCCAACATTGGTAAGTTGCTAGGAGTGAGCTTTTTATATAACCTGGAAATTCATGGAAATTCGAGGAGGACACAGATGACTAATTAACATGGAACGATATCCACCTGGAAAGAACTAAGGTTTAAAAATATGTGCGACCATGTGGGACCAACATCATTTCTGGTGTCATTTTTTGCGGGTGCAAATGTGGGCCCAAAATCGTTCACGTGGACCATAATTGAAGTTGTTCTGGGTCAAAAATGCCGAATTTCCATGTAAAATCGTCATTTTGCAACTATCCAGATTCCGGGTTTCCTAAAATGGGGGGGTACCCCTACATCATCAATTTGAATGGAATCTTCCATGAAAGATTCACCCTCCAGCCACTGGGATCATCAAGCCATATTCGATGAACCCCACCTGCAACTCTTTGAAGACAAAAGCCAGTTTTCTTCGCATGAACTCCACCACCACGATTTGCTGCGCACGCTGGGCAGGTGGGGTATGGCTTTCTGCCCTAAAATTTCGTGAGTTGAGGTGCCATAGAAAGGTGCCATAGAAAGGTTTCAGACTTGGTTTATCGTGGCTTCTCTTGGTTTTCTCCATTTTTTTCAGCTGGAAAAACCCACAAGTTCATAAATATCATGCTTCCCATGCACATGGCCATTCTGGGCTATGTCTATTTTTTGGAACCCACTGAAGTATACGGGTTGGTGGAGGGTGGGGGGTGAAGATTTGCATCAGGTCTGCATGGTGGCGATCCAACAGTCAGGGAGTGAGTAGTTGGGGTATGGTTCCGGACCTATTAAAAATGGTTTGGGTCAGTTGAAAATAGCCCATTTATAGATGGTTTACCTATTAAAAATGGTGATTTTCTATAGCCATGTTAGTTTACCACAGTGTAGTTGCCGTGTTGCCGTTTACCAAAGACACTGCAGAAATTCCCCCACCGGGCGCGGTGGCCCGAAAAAGATCTTCCGCTTGAAGCGGCTTGGATTGGACTTGTCATCTGGGTATCAAGCCTGTGAGATTCCAATGGATCAATAGTTGGACCACAACAACTTGGGAGGCCAGGAATGTTGACCCACCGAAAGTTGAACCAACAAACCTCCGGGGTTGGCCAGCCAAAATGGATGAGTTTATTCAAAAATATTGGGAAATGTTACCAATGTTAAGCCCCAGATGAATGTTGAAAGCGGTTGGTAAAAAGTTGATGGGCAACCAATTTAATGACTTTAATGGCAGAACTCTAGGAAATCAGCGAATGTGACACTACCTAGCTTCGCTGGGTGACTCGTAGCTGGACCTGGTGACCAAAACCTACACCAATCCTTTCACCCAGTTTACAGGTCCTACACCAGCGCGACCCCGGTGAGATGGAAGCTGGTGAAATCTCCGTTCTGGTTGGCCCCTCCAGCAGGTACTCTCTGGTTTTTTCGTTTAACGAACTGGAAAGATCCACCATGGTGTTTTAATAGCTAAATCGACTATAAATATCTATAAATCATAAATGGATAAAACATGATAAAACAAAATTGCCGTGGACTGCGGGAAAATTCTGCAATCAGTTGGATAATGTTGGATACAAAGCCAAAGTCAATGGATATTTTCATGGGCCATGGCTTCAATAGCACACTGTGCTCCTCATTCCGCCGGGTACGGCCCTTGGCCGATGGCCGGACCTCCGCAGTAGGAGATGCGTTTGGAAGAGGTGTGCCAGCAGCATACCTGCGCTGAGGCGCTGAGGCGCTGACTGAGGCTTGATGCGGGTTGACTGTGCGGTGCTTAGCTAACTGATATTTTGAGTCAGAGGGCTTCAAAAACGATTCATAAATCGACGAAATCTGATATTATTTGTGGTTTTTATATGTTTTTATCACCTGAATTGTGTGGAAATGTCTATGAAAATAGCCTATAGAATGTGCTGTCCCTCTCATGCTTCCAAGTGTTCCAAGTGTATCCCAAAGTCTCACAATAGCAATGGCAGAGTTCCTCGAATCTCCACAATAAACATCTTGTTGGTTGGATTAACCTTGAGGAAACTCATGATGTAACCGCCATTTCAGGAACTCATGCCTCCCATAAAAAACAAAAACTTGAGACCCCCTGAACATCCTGAACTAGTCCCGGATTCTCCATCCCAGGGCACCACTTGTCGTCGTTTTTGACAATCCGATAGACTTTCGACACATTGGTCAAAGGAAATTCGATAATTCGACCTGTCAAAGACGCTCTGTGCTCTGGTCATCAAATAACACAGAATGAATAGCATGCACCTGCCTCTAGAAATGAAACTACCACAATGATTCAGCCTACAAAACCGTATGCTATGTGGTCAGTTCAAGAAAAAAAAACTCATTTGAATACCTGTGGGGGGATTTCCAAGCCATGTTTGATTACTGTGTAGCTAATTCTCAACAGCAGCGACTGTTGGGTTTCAATCTCCTGGTCATTTTTCCTCCATTGTGGTCCGCCCTAACCCTGGAACCCCCACGTTGAATCCTGGGAACCTGCTGGGGTTCCAAAAAGCTGGGTTCGTCGGACATGTTTCGATGAATCCGGCTGAAACTTCCCCGTTAAAAAACACATCGAAAATTTCTACGGGAGGTAAAATTGGCTTTAAAAAAAAGCGAAAGATGGTCAAAGTACCACAAAGTCCCCAAAAAAAGTGGCTTTCCAACCATCACTGATTTTTTTTGAGCCTTGCGCAACCATCTTCAAAAAGTGGAACCAGAAAATTTTTAACACAACGGCCGGGGTATGGTGAAAAGATGTGAAAAGCATAGGTGGTATACCACCCATTAGGGTTTAGGGTTTATACCATCTTCAAACAACTGCCCAAAAAAAATCTCACCACAACTGGCGTCATCTTCGAGGGACCATTGCTCTGGTCCAACTTCAAAGTGGTTAAGTCCTGGCAAGAGACCACCAACTTGGGTTTTTTTCACCACCAATGGTGGGGTGCTCTAACCAACTTGGGACCTACAAAAACGATGTATAAAACATGTATAAAACATATATCTACATATATATATATATATATACACCATATATTGATTGATTGTTATGACATACTCATTGCTAATTAACAATATGAATATATATATATATCATTGTTGCCTATATTGTCAATGAAATACCATTGGTTAGTTCTTGATTAACTGGTTGTGGATTGTTAATGGTTGTTAATCACAAATAATTGTTCAACCACACAGCAGTAAGGGTTCCAGCTTCCAGGGTTGCAGGGTTCCATTGTTCCTTCCCTTAAACACGCATCCGCGACGCACCATATCTATCTGAGTTTGCAGTAGGGCCATCCGTTCCTGCGGTCATATGAAATACATTGAAATACCCCATTTTGTTTGTGGCCCAATGAACGAATCCAATACGAAACCAGCGTTCTGGGGGATCAAAACAAAGGGCCATTTCGAAATTGAGCAAGTGACCATCTCCCTAAAACTATCACGTTTCAGTCAGGAAAGTATGGCCACCTTCGCTGGGATTTAGACCCAGATTGGACCCAGATTGGACACATTTTGGCTATAGCCCACTTACTTTACTGCTCAAAGCAAAATATGTTTACGCTACTCCCCATCATTTCATGGCTGTCAGCCTCTAAAGTCCCCGAAATTTGACCCTGCATCAAACAGAAATTGCGTTCCGGAGAATCGCCCAGTCACAAATGATGCTGCTATGTTGAATAATGCAGTACTAGACAAATGATTAACCTCACAATGTAATATGTTTGCATGTAACAATGTAATAATGAAGATACCTTATATCATTATTTTAAAAAAAAAACACGAATCATCGTGTAAAGAAACGTGGTGAAAATCTCAGCTTGAAATCACAGAGTCACGAGACTTACCATCCTCCATAAGCTGGACGTGGATGTCAGCATAGTCTCGATTTGAGGTCAGCTGGGTGAGGTACATCCCTGACGGACTGGGAGATGTTCAATTCAGCAAAATGTCCATGGAATTCACAGTAGAAATGGTGATTTAACGGGGACCTAGTGGGGATTCAATTGGACTGTATTTATCATCATATATACAGTTCATGAATTGTGATAATGCCCAGTGTCTCAAGGGTTGCAAAACCCCTTCACCAACATCAACCAACAAAGGGTTTTGAACACTGTTCAGCTTTGCATGTTTTTTCATCACCATCCTTGTCCCGCAAAGGGCACGTGTGATTTTTGGTATCTTATGCTGTATCTTGGAAGGGTACCATCTGGTTATGACTAACATAGCCATGGAAAATTCACCATTTTTAATAGGTAAACCATCTATTTCTATGGGCCATTTTCCATGGCTATGTTTAATAACCAGATGGTAAATCAAGTGATAGATCACTGTGACTGAAGCCAGTTGCACATGGGACAACCCTGGGAATTGCAGCTATTTTCACCTGGCTGCTACGGACTTGTGGGAATGAGGCAGGAAAAAAATGCGGAGATGATTGTGTGACCAATGAAGGATCTTTGTGCTTGCAAAAAGTGGTCCTTTCCCGCTGAGTGTGGACTTCACACCGTGGGCGATCGCAGTCTTACTTTTTTGGCTCTCAGATACCTCTTCAAGTTGATGTCTAGTGGGATATCCAATATCAAAACTTCGTTCTGTGTTCGGAAATAAACCCAAAGAATGCAAACTAGTTGGTTTAGCCTTTGGGTTGCCCGAATATCCCAGGTTTTCCACAGGCATCTGCGCTTCAGTAGACCCGGGGAACATGAAGCCAACTGATAAAATGAAGAACAGACAGGTAGGTGGACCTACACCGTGGATTCGCAAAACGTACTCAAAGTCCAACACATCTTCAAAATCAGATTTTGTGTCTTGAGACCAATAAAATTACTCAAGACGCTTGACGCACAGTTTGCTATCAGCTTGTGGTAGCCGCAAGAATCAAGGTGACCCAGTCAGCTGAATCATCGGCTGTCAAAAGCCTGGTAGAAAATGGTTTTCACGCCAAAATAATTTGTAGATGGATGTTCATTCCCCCAAAATGCGATATGGAAATTTATATGGAATTTATGGGCAATTTGATCCATCCGTTCTTTTTTCTAGTTGACTTGCAGCACAAAAACCCACACGGCCTGTGTGCAGTTCGATGGCAAACTCCCGGTACATTTCCAGCAGTTTTTCCTTTCGCACCTTGCAACTCGGCGAAATTGTCCATGGTGCTGTCACCTTGTGGTTAGCTTTCCCCATGAAAAGTGGGTTTGATGTGGGAAACCGCCATAAACAACTACCACTTGGGGAAATTGTCTAGAAGTTTAGACCACCCATCTATGGTGATCATGGTCAAAGTCATTTGTGATGTCCGAGAAAAATCGAACATGGAGACCGAGAACAGAGTGTGATGAATGTGCTTGTTGCTGAAAATTGCATGCTTCAGGTGTTATTTTGCTGCTTAAACCTCATTTTACTGTGATTCTGATACCCTGGGATATATGTGCCCAGTAAATCCACAGGTTTTGTCAGTAGAACCTCTCATCTTTCTTGGCATTTCATTCAAGTATAATCCACAAAAAGAGAAGTTGGCAACAAAAATAGTGATAAATGACTAACCTCTACCTGTTTGGGGGTTGCATTTAAGTCATTTAAGTATAGTCCCCAGATTGTGTTGGAAAATCCGCTTGACAATTCCCTTCTTGTCCGACGGGTGAAACATGGTGAAACCGAACCTCCTCCGCCTCATCAGCGGTGATGTTGGGCGGCACGGGGTACCTGGACATTTATACAGACATTGATCTTTGTACAAGGACGAATGCTCATCTCATGTCTCATATTATAATATACCTGTGTATGTATATCCATGTGTATGTATATATATATATATATCCATATATAAAGAGCACGCACAAACCTTCTTTTTAATAACCACTCCGCAGCAAGTTTGTTAAATAAAAGGGGAAACCTAAGACAATCGCTTAGGTAAGAAATCGGGAATGAGTGAAAGAGTTGCCAGGCCAAACCCAAAGCAACTCATAGAAGAGATTCGAGCGAGAATGAGCCAAACCAAACATTCCCGCCCGGCCGTGGTAGGCCACTGACTTTTTCCTCTTGACTTGCCCTTCTGGCGTCCAGGACGCTTGTTCGAAGATCTCTTCATAGATCTTTTGGTAACTTTCTTTCCGTCCAAAGAAGGAACTCTTAGCCAGGGAGAGAGAGAAACGAAGGGAGGGGGGGGCTAAGAGCCAAACACTACAGTTATATAAGAAAGAAGGTGAGCTACTCTTTACCCCCGAGGACGTGGAGACAAAGAGCACGCACAAACCTTCTTTTTAATAACCACTCCGCAGCAAGTTTGTTAAATAAAAGGGGAAACCTAAGACAATCGCTTAGGTAAGAAATCGGGAATGAGTGAAAGAGTTGCCAGGCCAAACCCAAAGCAACTCATAGAAGAGATTCGAGCGAGAATGAGCCAAACCAAACATTCCCGCCCGGCCGTGGTAGGCCACTGACTTTTTCCTCTTGACTTGCCCTTCTGGCGTCCAGGACGCTTGTTCGAAGATCTCTTCATAGATCTTTTGGTAACTTTCTTTCCACGGCCCCCTGCCCTTTCTGGGACAGAAGGCTCAAGTGTGGAGATGGTGAGACGGGAACGGTGTTGGAGAAAGACATGGAGAAAAGGAGCCAGGGAGGGATGGGAAGGGGGAAGAACCATTTCAGCCAACATGGACAGACCCTCATTCAAGTAAATACGCGCGGTTTTGGGTGCTGCCCAACGCCCCTGCAACAGAATCTTGTCAAGGCTGTGATGTTTAGAGAACCACCAAGTGGCGCCACCTCGGCGTAGACTGTATGGTCTGAAGTTCATATGTGACATCTTCAAGGCAGCCAAAGAATCATTAAACAGAGAGCGCCATTGGCCTGGATTGACTGCGAGAGGGGCTGATGGAGTGGCAAGAGCCTTCCAATGTTGAATGAAGTGAACCGCAAGATCATACCCAATGACCGCAGACTCGGCGGCACCGTGGCGTTTACCACCTTTGGTCAGGCCAAGGGAAATGAGGATCTTATTACTGCGGCTGTCACTCAAGATGTGTGACCCTCGCAATCCAATAATCTCACCGGTTCTGAGCATTCCATAGAAGCCGATCAATAGTGAAATTGCGAAAGTGAAACGCTGGTGGAATATAGCCCAACCTACCATGGCATGCAAGACATGAGCCGGCAACGGCGGTGCACGGCACGGGATCTCATGTTGAGACCATGTCTTCAACAAACGCCATGCACCTGGCAGCTGCCCCCGTAAGCGCACATCTTGGTCCTGCAGGCCAGCAATTGTATCACTGGCCAGTGCCCTGCCTTGCCCTGTAGACCACGGGTGTTCAAGGTAATCGCAGGCGAAGGTATCCATCTGGTCACGACGATTGGGCAGCCGCAGGCCGTTATCGTGGAGAAAAAACAGAAATTTGTCAATTGCTCGATTGTAGCGTTGCTTGGTTGCTGGCTGCACCGTCAATTCACGCAAGCTTCCTAATTTTTGCCGCTGTTTTGCCCTGTCTGATTGTGTAGTTCCTTCAAGGTGCCTTTTAGGCATTCCTAAACTTCGACTTGACCCGGCAGCCCCACCGACTGGGGCGATCCGCCGGGTTTTGATCCGTATGCACATAGCCCACCAGGGCTTGACTGGAACTACACAACAGCAGGGCATTGATGCGGGAGAGGGTAGAGCGAAGCTTGCGGCTGCTAGAGCGGCCTCTAGCCATTGCGTGCAGGACAACCAAAGAGTCCACCAAGTGTAAAAATCGGCATTTGATTTGTTTCTGATGTTGAATTCGCCACTTGAGTGACGTCAGCACGGCGCGAAGCTCGAGGCTGTTAATGTGTTCTGGCGAGCCCCTCCATTTCCACCCGCTGATCACTTTCCACTTCCACAACCGAGCAGGAACGGACGCGCGCAGCCGGTGGAACTTTACTAACTGGCTAGAAGCGGCGGTGAGGAGAATGTCTTCACCCTTCACGCTCACCAGTTGCCCAAGCTGTGCCACCAAATTTGGCGAAGCTGCAGGGGCCTGTCCCCGCAGTGGCCTGAGAGGCGCTCGCCAGAGACGCGATTGCAGGAACGTTTGGTGCACGGGGTTGAGGAAATCCACAATTTGCTGAGGCGTGTACAGGGGGCACAATCCGAGAGGACCGCACAGTTGACTGATGAACCACGCGATGACAGGAACGCTCCACGTGTTTCCCACCAGAGTATGTCTGGTGTCGGCATGAGCCGTGGTCCCTCGGTGCTGTTTCGGAGAACAGCTGGAAGTGTACCCGACGGGGAAGCCGAGCATGTACTCTTTCTCTTCGATGGTAGGCAACCGCAAGACATCGTGCTTGTTCACCAGGAGGTTCTTGGAAGTGTACTGATAGGGGGGGAACCGATAGCGGTCCGCCACCCACCGTTCCAAGTCTTGCGAGTTGCAGGTGTGAATCCCTGCCGGCTTGTGCCCCGGTTTGGCCCTAGGGCGTGCTGTGGTGAAGGTGGGAAATGGCCGCGAGGGATCCACCTTGATCCACCCTTCACCGCACACCTCCTCCAAATCTTGGTAAGCTTCAAGCCTCACCTCCCGAGGAGCGCCGCTGCTCCCATCAGAGAGAGAAGCACCTTGCATGCCCTGAAGCTCCCAAGTGATCCAATAGAGCCGGGGTCGGCTCGTCCACGTAAGCGTCCCGGCGTCACAGAACCACGGGCTGTCGCCAAAGTCAGCGGACATGATGTCGCTGTCTTGAGCGTCCATGGAGGCCACACTCTCCATGATGCAATGTACCTGACACCACGGGAAGTGGCGCTGTACCAGGTTTCCAATGCGGCGAACATGCGGGAAAAGGCTGGATCGTTCATCACGGAGCGCACCCTTGCGCTGTGAATTAAGGCCACTCACGCCCTGGCAGGGTGGACCGCCTCCGATCAGCACGAGAGAGGCCTGAGAAAACTCACGGGCCCAACCCTGAACCTCTGCCTCCGTGACTGCGGCCACGTCCGTGATGTGCTTGGTCTCGGGGAAGTGTGAAGTAACAACGCGCTGGGCGGTTGACTCCTTTTCAACACTGATGTGGCCCAAAACCTCCAAGCCCAGCAAGTCTGCGGCTACCCGAAGGGCGGCAATGCCATCAAACAGGCCAACCGTGAGAACACGGTGCTCCTGTCGCAGCTCAGGTAACTGGCCACGCAGCTTGCCATGTGCGGCCAGGTGTCCCGCCCGGCTCAGGTTTGCTGAGGCACAAATGCCACCACCCTTGGAGGAGGCATCACTACACGTCACCACCGGGTGATAATCCAGGCGGAAGTCCAGACGTGCGAGGGGGATGAGTCCCACAAACCTGATGAGTTCAAGTTTACAATGTACCGAGAGCGGAAGCGCTTGGCGCGATGTACCGTTGAAGGACTCAATGAACTTCCACACCTCGTTCAAACAGCCCAAAAGCTGACGACGGAACATGGAGACATAAACCAGGCCTCCGCAGACGACTTGCATCTGGCGCTGTGTGACCACAGGCGACGTCAGTACCTTCAATGTGGCCGCCACGTACTTCAGGAGCTTGTTCTCGCGGGGATACGCTACCCCCAAATTGCCATCAACCTGAGCTCCCTGTACCTCAGCCACTGTCTGACGCTCGACCGCCTTCTTCAAATTCCTGGGGACTTCCCAGACTTCATACTCCTGACGGAGTGCCAACACCGCAGGAGCCAAGCTCCCTGCCAGGGTGGAGACATCGACGCTTTTCACTTTCTCTAAGAGGTCATAATTGTCTAGGTATATCCGCCACGACGGATTTGCGACAGTGACCGGCTTATCCTTGCGGATTTCGGCCTCGGGTGCTGCCACGCCAGCGGCCTCACCCGCAACGTGCTCCTGACTCCACAGTGTCAGGTTGCGATGCACGTGTTGCGCCAAGCTGACACTGTTGGCGAACCCCATAGGGAGTACCTTAGAGGCCAAATAGACCTCCTCCCCTCGCATCTCTGAAGGGAGGCACTGGTCCGGCACTCTTCGGTTGAAGGCCATGTACTTGTACCATGGGGTCGGGACCGACATGGTGTAGAAAAAGCAGCGGACATCTTCGCTGCTGATCAGCAACGTCTCACTTGGTTGCAGGTAGAAGGGGGACATCAAACTCCACGCCGGGAGCGTGTCAACATCACCCTTCACCGCCTCTGCAATGCCATTAAAGGGCACCAAGTTCATAATGAGACGATAGACCTCGTGGCCTCGCGACCATTCGTCTTTGCTGACCCCGAACAGGCCATTGAGTAGGGGTTTGCCGTCCACCTGAAAGACCTCATTAGCCCGAAGCAGTGTGCAGACGCCCGTAGACACCAAACCCTGGCACACCTCGGGCCACGCAGCCTCGGGCACCATTACCCGGGGTGGCCGGTGCCGCTCCCAGCGGTCAGGTGGGCGGATGTATATATCCAGGTTCTCAACGTAGTGCTTTGATCCTAAAGTACAGACGTCCGCTAAGGGCACCCGACCTATTTCTTTAGGTAACGCAGGTGCTATGTTCTGCCACGTGAGCTCCCTAGCTGTTTTGACTTCGTCTCCTTTATAGTCAATGCTCCTAGTTGAAAAGAAGTGGTCCCAATCGAACACTTCCAATTGCCCTTCTAGCGCAGCGATGCGCTGGACGTCCTCCACAATCCATACCAGACACGCTTTAACCAGTGGCGAGACTTCGCCGCAAAAGTCGTGCCCATCACCCCATAGAGTGTTCAGGCTCAAACAAACGGATGACAACCACGCGACTTCACATACCGTCAGGTGGGGGAAGGTAGAGGACAGCACGCTACTAGAGGAAGGTAGGGGAAACAGGGAAGACCTACTTCTCCTACCCATGGGCTGGCTGCGGAGTGAAGAAACCTCCAGCAGCATTTGCTGAACCCTCAACCCTAAATCCACCATCCTAGAACCCTCAAGGTTACCCAAACTCTTTTCCGTCCCTTGTTGAATTAATCCTGGATGTTTCCCAGCGCAGTGGCGTGGGGTCTCGATCGGATGGCCCTGGTGTTTAAAAGTCACCGGGTCACCCTGGGGCTGGTCCAGCCCTAGATGAGGAAAAAATGGCGGCGCGTCAGGTCCGACGTGGGCCCGCGGTCGCGCTCTCGTTCCCGAAGAAAAGTCCGCAAGGGACTCAGCCCCTTCATCTGGGACCGTTGGAAAAATCTTCACCCCAGGGTCCGGCTCAATCTCTGCCAAAAAGACTCCTGGGGTGGCATAGGAGCTACTGCCCAGCTCCCGCACACTTCCGCCCGTGGCGTCACCCTTGTCTGGTGCCGCCCTCATAGGTAAGGCTCCCTCCAGCCTCTCCATTGCTACTTCTTTTCGCCTCCTTTGCCCTTGTCTCGCCTCGCATCCTCCTTCCTGTCTTCTCTTGGTGGGTGGTCTTTGTCGAATTTGCCCTTGGTCTTCCCCTTTGGGGCTCCCTTGGCGCTGCTGCTCTGGGTCTGCCAGCGAGCTCTCGCCTCGAGGTAGTTCTCCCTCTGGGCGGTCTGCAGCTCCCCTCGGGCAATGAGGGCTGGCGCCTCTCCAGCCGCCAGTTCTATTTTCTGGGCAACTGCCCAGTGAGTGCCCCCCAGCACCAGTTCCTGGGACTTCAGCCGCTGGCACAATACGTCGAGGGCCAGAGCCGGCTGGCCCTTCAACAGGGCGTCGATCGTTGTCGACAGAGTCAACAACTCTCGGGCTTGGGCACCGCTTGCCTTCTTGGTGAGGACGTTCCGGAAGTACAAAAGGGCCACAGGGCCGGTGTCCTTCAGCTCCCCCTCTTCGCCTGACGTGGTCAGGAGGGAGCGTCTCATGTTCAGGAGCGTCTCCACCGTCAGCGCTCCCGGGTACCTCTCTGAGATTGCCCGAGCCTTTGTCTCCTCCGCGAACACACCCTCGGTCCCCAGGCCTAGGGATTCCGAGGTTGAGGAGCTGTCGCTGCTCCCCTTGCTGCTGCTCGACGTCGATCGCTTGGTTTTCCTCTTGCCGGCAAAGCGTCGGGCCTTCTTTAAGACCGTCTTGCGGACCCTTTCCTTGGGATCCAGGGCCGTGCCGCCGTAAAGGCTGCTGAGTTCTTTGCGGCCCGCTTTGCTCGGCTGACGCCCGCTTAGGACTTCTTGCGCCTTCTCCTTTGACTTCTTCTTCTTTTCCTTCTTCTTTTTCTCTGGCGCCGGGTCCTTCCCTTCGCCGTCGGGTGCTTCCACAGCCTCCCCCTGCTGGGGGCGGCGCGCTTGCAGGAGCTCCTGCTCCCTCTTCCTCAAGCCCGCCATCTCGTCCGGACCCCCTGTCGCCGGTCCGTCCAGGCTGTTCACCCATCCTTCCTCGCCGTCGGCTCTCCCCTGGCGCCCTCTGACTGCGTGCACGTAGAAGTCGCCGCTCTCCTGACGACCGCACCCCTCCGGGCACACGTGCAGCCTGAAAGGCGTGTCCTTGGCCGACGTGAAGGTTCTCAGGACTTGTTCGCTGTCGGTCCCTGTACAGCGGAGCAGAATGTGGGCGCCGTTTCTGTCGCGCTCGACCCTCAGAATCTGTCCCGCCAACTTGACAGGGGCCCCATAATAGTCGCCCTCCGACACAACCAAGCAGGACCCCGGCTGGAAGAGGTCCAACGGGACGAGGTGGAGGGGCAGTTCTGCCCCGTCCTCCCAGGGAGACCGCTCGCCCTCTCGAGCCGCAGGCCTCCTCCTGACGCCCCTCCCAGGAGGAGCCCCCTGGCCGGCTACACCTCTCACTGCTGGCCTTCTCAACACGGCCATGGCCTTGGGCCGTGCGGCGGCCTTCACTTTGGCTTTTGGCGCCATTGCTTCTGCTTCTTGCGGGCCCGTCGCTCCTCGATCTTCTTCCGCGTGAACTCCTTGGCTCGCTCTCTTTTCTTCCTTCCTCTTGAGCCTCGGTCTCTAGGCTGTGCTCCCCTGGGCTGCCGCCTCGGCAAGGGGGCCCGACCTTCGCTCTCCTCTTCTTCGCCGTGACCTGGACTGGCCCGCCTGGACCGTTTCTCAGGTGACACAGGCCGTCGGGACCCACGGCTACCCGAGTCTCTCTCGAGCTTCTCCTCCTGCCGCTCGTCCTGCAACTTCCTTTTGTTGTGCTTTGTGGAAGCCTTGCAAGCGGGATACAGCTCCAGCTCCCTACCACGGGAAGAGGGACTGACCTCACGTTCCCCTGGGCTGTGTCCTTCTACTTTGGCTTCCTTCTCCAAAGCCTCCTCGTCCTCTATCTCAACGGACACCTGTTCTTCTTCACTCGACTCCTCGGTGTACTCGCTCCCCTCTCCAGCCTTTTTCGGGGCTGTAGGAGCGTCAGGTGGCCCGGAGGTGCGGCCCTCGTTTCCCTCCTGAGCAAGCAGCGCCTCCGCTGCCCTGACCGCTGGGACGCTCGATTCAACGAGGTCAGCGAGCTCTCCGGCAGCCACCCGAAGTACTTCCACCACCCGTTTCTCCTGATCCTTCAGGTGACCGGACCGGAGAAACCCTGTGATCCTACAGACTGCTCTGCAAGATCCGCAGACAGGCGTCCCGGGGAACACCCGACAGTCTGCACAAACCATCGGCTAAGAGCCAAACACTACAGTTATATAAGAAAGAAGGTGAGCTACTCTTTACCCCCGAGGACGTGGAGACATATATATATATACACGTGGAACTATATGATGTGTATACTCATTATACATCTAGTGCTGCTATTTTGTGCAGCATTCACTCCGTTTTGGATGTTGGCCATGTGGGTCATGGAGACCAAAGGCCTCAAAAAATGCGAAAAAAATCCATGGTTAGTGATACCCTCTGATAAACATACAAAAAACATCAAAAAACTATGGAAAGATCCACCATTTTCAATGGGGAAATCCACTATTTCGACTGGGTCATGTTCAATAGCTATGTTAGTCATTACCAGAGGGTAGTTGAATGGATGCCAACTGATTTTCCATATGGGGATGTTTCGCCTCTTTGAAACCCTGGCATCCAATCAAAATCAATCAAATCTGTTCGTCTATGTCTGAGTCCAGTAGCGTTCCGATGCCATATGTTCCGTATTGCCCCGTCCCATTCCATACTGACATCCCGTCCCAATCATAACAACTCAATGATACGTCAATGATACCCCATGGCACATCATGGGAATGACGAAATCCAAGAGAAGATATTTCCCCATCTGGGAGCCCAATCATTTGAAACAATCCAACTATACCATGTTTTCGAGCCAATCTTTCCGTGCTATCCACGGGGAACTTGCACTCATATCTTTGCCTTGTTTGATATCCCATGTTTGATATGTGATATTTTGAGTGGATCTGGAAGCTGGGTAGACAATCCTGGGATGTTCATCACCCAGCAATTTGGGAAAAACTTGGTACCCATCCCTGCATCTAACCCCTCAGGCTGTGTCCAAAGATAGGAAGCCGTAGGATAGCCGTAGAATTTTGGAAACAGCTCTGAAAATCAAACAAGAAAAATCACCAAAAAACATCAAAAAACATCAAAAGACACCATGTTTAGGCCATTTTTTAAGAGTGAGGTGAAGATCCAAATAGGTCCTAACCAATAGCCATATAAAAATCAACTGCAACTGCACAAAGGGTCACGTCTGCAACTGTGGAAGTTCCAGCTGCGCTCTCAGGTCTTGCTGCCGTGGGGTGATGGGACCCGGCCTCCGATGTCCGAGGACTTCGAACGCTTTGTTTTGGATCGCCCGGAGTATCCCATGAGATCCGTATGCCCCAATAAACCATCAAAAAATTGGGCTATATCCCATGGATTATCCATGATTCATGGGATAATATCATGAAACTGGGCTATATCCTATGGATTATCCGATAAAAACCATCAAAAACCATCAATCTAGTACTTGAAACCATTTACAACACACATGCCATACATGTTAAACGTATGCCTTAATTTGGGTTTTACAAAAAAGGCCATAAACCACCTATTTGGAATGGTAAACATACCACTTATAAAAATGGTGATGACTGGGGGATGGTAAACATGACATTGTTTTACCCACATTATACCTTGATGCATCTGGTATCTTTTAACCCTATAAATAGCAATCCGAGGTTCCTCCTGTTCTATGGCTTGCTGGGCACCTCTCCCATCTCGAGAACCCCCCTTTTTGGCCCCGGACGTCCGGCTGAAGCCTAGACCAAAAAGCCGCGGAGTGAAGGTGATGTCGAAGGAATCCTCAGGGACCATGGGTCCCATGGGTGTAGGGGTAATATGATGGCTACAGAATTTGGAGAAACTGCAGATAGATGTCTAAGATTGCGATTAGACCAGATTGGATTACATTATATAGATTGTATGAAGATAAAGATGAAGACAAAAAACATAAGAATAAAGAGAAGATAAAAATCATATAAGATACGACAAGGTAAGATAAGATAGACAGATAGACAGACAGGCACAGACAGGCAGGCAGATAGTTAGATACTTAGATATAGTGAGATATATGCATTATAAATATATATATACAACTATATCCTATTTGATATTATGCTACGTATACATACATGTATGTGTATATATATGTGTGTGTGTGGTACAAAACCCTCGCACACTGCAATGCACATCAAAATAGGTGGTAGATAGGTACTAAATGGATGTTCATTCTTCAGACTTGACATAGCCATATATTATGTATATATATACTGTATATGTGCTTGGGGATATACTGGTGATTTGGGGCATACAAGGGGGATGTATACAGTACCAACAATGTCCTGTTGGCAAAACACCCATCAATCCACTGTTAGACCAACCAATGGATACCCTAACTTAAGTGGATGTTTGAAGATGTTTGATTTTGGTGTTTTTTTTATGTTTACCCTCTGGTAAACTAACATATGTAACTATGGAAAATCGTCTTTTTTATGGATAAATCAACTATAAATGGCAATTTTCAATAGCTATGTTAGTCATTCCCAGAGGGTACCTTAAATGCATCCGATGGGAGTTTTCCTCCACAGGAGGACCATCCACCCGCAATCGGTGGAGGCAGCAGAAAACCAACGAAACCAACAAATCAGTTTACTCTGGACCAACTGGCCAGGGTCAGCGACTGAAACTGGCCAAAGTCGCTTCCCATCCATTTTTTGTTGTTCAAAAATGGCAGAACCCAACGATCATCATCAAAATCCACAAAATGTGTCTTGGTCGCCTGTTTAAACACTTCAGGTTTCACCAATACAGAACCTACTTGATATGGACAACCATACAGGCTTACACACGGACCTAAAAATACTTCAGTGACCCTGCCAAAAAGCAAAATTGCTTTTATAGCTGATTGCAACAGGCTGACAAGTTACTTACCATTTCTCCCGTTTACATTAAAATACTGTAAGAAAATGTAAGTAATAATTATTCAAGCAATTGTCAACAACTGACTATTTTTTTATCTAGTTACTACAACATATATCAACATATGGGTATGGCTCGAAATTGGGTCCCTCAATAATTGGAGGGTGAATACGTAGTAAAAATAGACATTTCAATCTGTGGTCCCCCAGGTCTTGAAAAAATTGACCCATACCCAGCCAGGCCCCAGCCAGGCCCCAGCCAGGTGCCACACCCCAGAGGTTAACAAGTGTTTCGCCTCGGAAAACGTTGGCAAAATGCTGTGGTTTTAGGGAAAATCTACAGGAAAACCATGGGTCTTAACGATGAAATATAGGGGGTTCCTGGTTTCCATTGTCCCATCATCCAATTCTGTGAGAGATTGGTGGATGCAAATAAATCTATGGAATGGATATGGGTCAAATTTGAGTGGCGCACTTTTTGTGCTCGGACAATTTGTGGGCCATAACCATCCATGTCCGAAGTCAGACGGTCCAAGCATCACGAAAAAATTCCAAGCAAACTCTGTGCATATCATTGGTTCCATCAAGCTCACTGGTTCCAATATGGGTGTGTCTGAAAATGTCGTGTACCCAAAAAAACCCAATGGTTTTGCTGATCATTATCCCTATTATATAAATAGCTATTTCATTGGGAATCTACCCAACATTTTCAGACAAAGCCAAATATCTTACATTACCCTTTGATAATGACTAACAGTTCGCTATTGAAAATGACCCTGTCGAAATAGTGGATTTTCCCAGCTACAAAATGGTGGATCTTTCCCATTGATTGGTTCCCAGTCTGGACAAATTCATCGACCCACCCCTGGCTCTTCCCACGCTTGTACCGCTGGGAGCGGGCTCTGAACTCAGCTGCACCTGGATGCGACGAATTCTTGGGGATGGTCCCTCAGTGCTGGCCCAATAAGACTTAGGTGTGTCTGAAAATAGTGTAGCCCTAAACCCAATGGTTTTGCTGATCATTATCCCTATTAAATGGCTATTTCATTGGGAATATACACTATTTTCAGACAAACCCACTTGTTTGCACAATGGATCCACCATTTTTGGACGGATTTCTGAAAGAACTTCTTCAGGGATGCTTCCTGCCCATCGCAAATACCTGGAAGGGGTGTAAAAAAAATTGGCTAAATGGAGAAGTTAAATCAAAATCACAACCTTTTCCATGGCTCTATGGTTATTATTTACACCCCTCTATTGTGGTTATTATTATTATTACAAATGGCTAATCACACCCTTGTGGTTATTATTTATCATGGCTTGGAGAGAACCTTTTGGAACTAACCTCTTCAGGAGTCGAACCAGCAAAATGGTCCTTTTGGGGGAGGCACTTTTCGAGACAACAGGTGTGGAACATCATTGGTGCTACACTACGAAAATCAAGATACAACCAGACACACTGGCGGTAAACAAGTCTAGTATATAGTATACATAGTATACACAGTATTGCACAATCATTGTCAATGGGAGACTCACCATCACACGATTAGTATCATTTAGATTCATTTAGATTTAGAATCCATGCACATAGAAAGTGGAAGGATCCTCGAAGTTCTGCAACGACCCAAGCAACAAAGAAGAAAAGTGACCCTGCCAAAGGAGTGACACAGTCTAGAATCTAGAACTGATGGTTGTTGGTGAGGGAGTACACTAGTTGGAAGTAGGCCCCACAATTCCTTGTAATTTTCATGCCAGTAGCAAGAACCTCGTCTATCGCTAGCTCGTGAGGGCCTATGAAATTGTAAGAGATGAGGGAATATGTGCAACAACAAATTAGAGGCATTGTACCAACATGACAATCAAAGGGCTTGGACCAGAAAGAACCGGCGTGAAACCTGCATGAGATCTTCATTGTGGCATCTATTCCACCAGCAAGTCATGAGTTCAGAAAATAGCTTGGTCTTTACAGCATGAAGCGAACAGATACCCTCTGGTTATGTCAAAATAGCTATTGAAAATGGTGATTTATAGTGGATTTTCCCATTAAAAATGGTGATTTTCCAGTTCGCTATGTTAGTCATTACCAGAGGGTAGTACCAAAATACACTGATACACGGATTTAGGTCAAAGCCATGGTACCTTCCATCTGCCAAGTCTGAATGCCCAATCTTTGGTCCAAAGTCACCACGGGAAATCGTCTCAATGTGATGTTTGAAAAAAGGATCCGACTTTTCTATAAAGAAAGGGATGCTAGAAAGGTGTTGAAGCTACATCCGGCAACCGTCCCCCCCTAGTTGCATTTGGCTCAAAATCATCTGCTAGACTCCCCAATAGCCCAGGTAGCATATAATTATATATATATAACTCCTATCTCAGAATCAATCAACCAGGGTGCTCTTTAAAGGTTCCTTTCTTGGTGTTGCGCCAATCCCCTTTTTGATGACCTTACGCCATCCACAACTCCAAAGAGCACCTGATACTCCGCTTGGGTGTGGTTTGCTTCGCAGCCGCCCGCTGTGCAGCACCTGGCGACACACAACACCAGCCATGGGAATGACCATGCTCAAAACATGGCTTTTGGTGCATGGCCATCTATTCCATGAGTCATTATAATAGGTATAAAATTAAGTAAATCATAGTAAATCCGTAAAATGGATTGATTATTCCCATCCCGCAAGGACTGGGAAAACGAAATATTCATCTTTTGACCATGGCACACGACTGGGGATTGCTATCAACCAACATTTGGAAAAGCCGTAGGCGTATCCCCAAGCACGGGACCAACATGAACTTCTTGGGTTATGTTTCCCAGTTTCCCTTCACTTTGGGCTCACATTTGAGAACGTTCTCTTGGTCAGTTTTTTTTTTCCGGGCAATGAGGCGTTCTAAAGTGTTCTGACGTTATGCTAGGAATCCAGATCAAAATAGCCTCTGGCAATTTGTTGCACTTTGCCATGAAACATATTGAAAAATCACAATGTTTACAAACGGTAAATGATCGAAGTAAATGGTCCATCTATACCGTGTTTACTATGTGTGATTACCAAGTTGGGTCATCATCATAATCCGATTAAACCACATGAAATCCGATTCAGTCCCTATTGTTGATGGTTAACCCATAAATTACAGGAAGGTTTCTCATACCAGAAACTCACCAAGATCTACAAATCCAGAATTTCTCTGGGGAAACATCACCAAACTAACACGGTTTAGGCATCTGGGGACCAAAAAACATCAAAAAAGAACCAAAATCAAACATCTTCATGGCCTTATTTTTTTACCATTTGGCCTGTACCCAGTTCGGGATTTCTGCGATGCCATTTCTAATAAAAACCGGTTGGAAAGCAGCATATCAGAAAATCATCTGAGTTTCCAAATCACGAAAAGAAACCATTTGGAGGTGGTTTCACTACTCCTAAACGTCTAATTTACAATATTTTACAATGATGTCGGCCAGTGAACTCAGCGAGGTCTTACAAGGTAAGAAGACCTGCAGCATCCGATTGCAGGACGCCAAGAACACCAGAACCAGTTGGATGATAAGTCAGGGTCACCCCTTTTTACGAAAGCTTCAAGTATATGAGGAGAAACGCCTGTCATGTTTTAATCACCTATCGGTTACTTTTCAGTATATCAATATATATATATATATACATCGAAATTCCACCATTGATATGTTGCTTAATTCATTGAATAACCGTCCATCAGCCACTACTTAACCATTGAGTTGGTATCAAAAATCCACTAAACCATTTTGATTATGTCACCGTTTTAAAGTCGTCCCATCCATTTGGAACTCAGCATCCCCCCGCGATCCCCGACCATCCCGACCCTAGGATCCAGTCCAAACGAGGTGTGAGCAGCGACATAGCTACAAAATGGCGACTTATGGTTGGGGAATGCACGAAAAAAATGACCCTGTCAGATACTGTAAACATCGAATTTCATTACATAAAGTTAAACTTACAGTATATAGTAAGATATCCACACAATCGTTCTTATATATTATATATATAATAGGTTATCTGAAAATACGGTGCCCCCAAATCCAGGGGTTTGAGAATTCATTGTCCCCATTTTTGGTTGCCATTTACGCTGGATAAACGCTGGCGCAGGATCTGTTGGGTAGAGGCGCAAGACCCGTTGGGTAGAGGTCCCAACAGATTTTTGTGTCTGCAGAATCGGAGTACCCCATTTGATATCATTTCATGCTTCAGAACCAAGAATTTGTCAATGAAAATTGTTGTTTTTCATGTTCTGGGGCATCTCTTTCTTTTTGGACAAATCTATATGTTTGTTTCTTCGTCCGTATCATGTTTGTACTGTTGTGCAAGATCACCGGATTAGCTACGTGCATTGAAAATGTGTACATGTTTGTAACCAAAAACACGGCGCAGGAAAAACGGTGCATTTGCTCCGACAACGTATTTGGAACCGGAGCTGCAGCTGTGTACATGCCATCATCTTTCCGTCTTTCCAGTGTGAACAGCGGTGTAAAAACCTCAAAAGCGACTGCTTGTTGATGGTTGGGTATGTAAAAATGGGTGGCAGTCTACATATCTATTTTGTGGTTAGATAATGTTAGATACGAACTATTGTGACTCATGCTGAGAGCCCCCCAACCAACTATACAAGTCAATGAGATGACCTCACCTTGGTTTTCAAGTTGTCTACGTCTGGCAGTGTCATCGAACCAGCCATGCGCCTCATGCGCCATGTTTGGTGAATCTAGAATAAGGCCTTGGTGGAATATGAACCAATTTTGTTTTTATATATCCTATAGATTACTATACACATTGACCTATCATCAAATGTTGATTATTAAATATAGTATAATCATATGGATTATAATACGACTATGATTATCATAGATTAATATAGATTATACATCATGACCCATTATATAAATATCAGAGCATCTTCTTGGATCATTCTACGGACGGGAACTGTTGGTGAAACAGGGTGAAACACAGAGCCGCCTTGAGGCGCCAAGTGAAACCGGTGCAAACCGAATCCATGCGGAAGATGAAGCACCTCGAAATTTATCGGTGAATCATCGTTTCCCCAATTTCCCACCGATTCATTGGTTAAAGAAAAAATCCCTATACTATTGATGGTTGAATCAACATGTCCCACCTGTTTTTCATACTTAATTCCAGCATTCCTGATCGTTGAGGGCATAAAATATATAAAATGTTTGTCTGCAAAATCGCTTCTGAGGCTGCTCTTGATGGATTCCTAAAAATCCACTCTATAGCCGAACCCTGGTATGGCCGCTGTCACCAAAAAAAGGCAGCCAGGCTGATCCAATTGATCACCTTCACGTGTTCGGAAAGGGGCACTGATGGAACAGTTGGCTCATAGAAAATGGGGTATACCATGGTATACCTCAGGATTATAGCCATTTAAGAGGGCATCGAAAACAGGGATAATCATGATTTAATCCAAATTTAATCAATGGATCTAGAGGTATACTCTACACTTCAGACATACCAGGGATGATGCAAGAGGGGGTCTCCAATCATCCACAATTACCAAGGGGTCACATGGTGGGCATCATTTTTTAACATGGCTGGTGAATAGCATATCCCCATCAAAGATGTGAAGATTGGATGTTCATCGAATCAAAAATGGGTGATTGTCCAGCCAAGGGCAAGCCAGGTGGGAGGTTACCTCAATAGTTGGATGGTTTCTAAAAGAAAACTCTCCTAAAATACATGATTTTGGTTACCCCTATATTTTAATGGGGGCTGCAGATGTTCCTGAAGAATGGTGATGTTCTCCGCGGGAGATTTCTCCCAGAAATACCACCAGTGTGACACACAGCGGCCAGTTGAATCACGCCCCGCTGAGACGCCCGGGCATTCGGAAAAGTGAACAGACCAAACTTGGCCTTTTCCCATAGCCCCTCATCATCCTGGGCCAGCAAAACAGTAGGACAACCTGATTTTATGTTGATCGGGAGGGTTGTTGGCGGGTTGTTTTTTAGATCAGAATATACCAGAATCCTGTACGATCCTATCTATCCTATATAATCCTATAGTCATTCAAAATTTACCAGAATGATTCATGCTTCCCTCTGGTTCTGGTTCATAGTTCAGGGATCAGTGCTGCTCTACGGTGAAGCACGTGCTGTCTATTCAGCTGTCTGGCTGCTTGCCTGACTGCCTTTCGCTCGGTGAGTTTTTGTTTGACTGTGATGTCAATTCAATGTGCTCGGCTTCTATCATGGATGGAAAATCCTCTGATGTTGAACTCCTGTCATTTGTGAACAGCTGCATATGGAGGTGTCCTAAAATGGGGGTACCCCCAAATCATCCAAAATTAGAATAAAAATGTATTGAAAGGCATAGATTGTCTTCGATGCCCTGCAATTGCAAACCTGCATTGTTCTGGCGGCCTCTGCCTCCTTTGGCACTCCTGTCTCCACCATCGGATCATGCACCTGTCGAACTGGGTGGGAAGGATATGCGGTCAAAGTGATGTTGAACAGTTTCAAAGGATAGCGACAGTCCACATCACTTTGAAAGGGATCTGTCATTCTGAGACAAGTCCAATACACTTGTTCAAAAACAACCAATGGTTCAAGACTATTGCCTTGAAAAGAAATGAGGATTTTACCAGGGATGGATATATAGTCAGAATGGTTGATGTACATTTCATAGGCTACAAATAATCCATTGCTTCATCACCATTTCTCCTTTTAAGATGTGGCCTAGGGGATAACATCACGGAAACTGACTTCATCACCGGATCAAGGCTCTTGCCCATCCAAGTCACAGGTATGATGCAGATCATCTTATCTCATCAATATGGCAAAAACCAACAACAACACCCCAGGTGTTCATCAACTTTCCTATGGCTCCCATCCCAAAAGCGAAGTAATAGTAAAACTAGTGATCAGATACTCGTCAGAATGATCATTGCCATGAAAAAAAATGTGATTGAATAAGAAAAATAACAATAGCATACAATCACAGCCCATAACATGTTTACCACTTCCCTCAACTGGTGGATGTATTCCTATCAAGGCTAGGCTCAATACCGCTGGCGAGAGGGACTCTTGGTGATCAAATAGTCTCTCTCACCATCAGCAGCCTTTTGAGCCCCTGCTCTTGGCGATCAGATCGTCTGTCTGAACATCAACACCCATTCGAGCCTCTGACGCAAGTGCCTCTGGCTTTTCCACCTGCGACGCAAGGCACATGGATCACATCTGGTTTTTGCCGCTCATGGAAGCGGGGAAGTGTCGTATAGATGTCCTTTTCAGATTCATGTGCTCAAGGGGTAGACCCCATTGAACAATCAATGCGAAAATAGTGCCTTGCGGCACGCTGCCCTGCTTTGAGCCTTTTCTATGCACGTGTGAGTCATTGCTGTCGCCTATTGCGTTTGCGTTCGGCGTTGCGCCTTTTAAGATATTCTGCACGGGTTTTCTTCCGCTTCTGAATATTGATCCCAGGGGGCAGCTTTGCAGCTTTCTCCTTTACAAGAGGATCATCCCAAAATACACGGGCGGCTAATGTCTCTGCTTCTAATTTCGTACCACCCACTTCGCCTTTGTACTCCATTTTCGTCAAACGCACGGCGTCTCTAGCTTTTTCACTGAGTCGCAGTGTGCACTGAAAGTTATCCTTCTCGTGCTTCACTGTATCATAGGTCCCAAATGGAGGATCGCCAGGTTCAAAATGAAGCGCGCGCCTCACTGCAAGCGTGGCTGACAGATTTCCTATATGCTTCAGATTCAGATATAGTTTTTACTCTAATTATTATAATTTGATGATGTGACCACTGTCAGCAGACACGAACTTATACGTTTGCCTGAAGTTTGCACTAGCTGCCATTTTGTAGGTACAATTCCAAAATTATCCTGCAAACCGGGTTTCAAGATGTTTTAAGCATTTTGACTGGTAAAGCAAGGCAAACTGTATCACAAACAGCGGCTACAAATCAAGAAAAACTTGTGCTTGCAGAACCGACCTAATGACCTCCACAGTGTGTGAAAAATGCAGTTCCTATGCCAACTTTGGCTCCAAAACCAGCTCCAAGTTGCAGCTTATAGGGAAACCGCTTTCACCATCTTTCACCCAGTTCCCCTGTTTAATAGATTTTAATAGTGCGCAGAACATGCGCAACCCATCACAATACAATGTTCGATAGCATGTTTCTACCAGCACCATTTTTTATTTTGCAAATGCAGCGTCCAGGATGAAGTTGTTACACAGTATGCAAACAATGCGCTTCTCCATACAAGCCTGAGAAAACCACTAGAAACAATGAGCTAAGCGAAACGCAAATAATTGTAAAGTAACTGACACCCTCCACCATGTTTTGAAAAGCACCGCAAAAATGAAAAGCAAAGGCAACCAAGACGTGTAACAAGGTATGACACCAGCCCTCACTTCCATTGTCCAACCCTAAGTCTGCAAGAACCACTCTTTCCCATGACCTGCAAGACGAGTGATTCATCCGACCGGTTTTTGCTCCAAGAGTATGTTGGTATGGATTCAGGGTTTATGCAATGCCCCTAGATCATGCGTTTTGTGAAGAAATAGCGCCCATGTTGTACAAGGCAGAGAGCAAGCCGTATGATACTGTTACATTGTAGATATGGCTATCTGGACCAAAACATCAAAGCTTGGCTTCTCGCCAAAAAACTCAAATCAAAATATGTGTTTCTGACATTGCCCTGTTCAACCAGTTCATCATACTTAACGGCAGGGGTTCATTGTCTATTTTTTGCGGTGTTCCATAAGTCTTGGGCAAAGAGCTGTCGTCAGGGAAAAGCGGTGAGCAGGAATGAACGGACGTACTTCAGTTCAGCACTGGATCTTGGACAACCATTTTCTTGCCAAAGTGTCCCAGGCTGACACTCTAATCCTGCTGTATACTGTTTGATTATACTTGTTCTTGGACCAGAAATTTGCCGGGGTCAAAAATCCGTGTTGGGGGCGGAAACACTAAGCAATGTCTGAAATTCCGTGTATTCCTTGAGGGGCTGACATAAGGGAAGGGTGGAAGATTCAGGTTTATAATGGTTTATATATAGCTTGATGATATGACCATTGTCTTGCAACATCCTGCCGCTAAGCCACTTGAAGAAATCAATCGCGGCACCTTTAAAATTCCCGCCATACTTGCCCACGTCGAAACCCCACAGCTCATGCCATGCCTTGGACCTTCGAGGACCATTGGAAGACCTCGGTCAGCAGAAACATGTTTGGACAGAAAACTGAAGACTCTAAAAAACAAAACTGAAAGACCTGATTTCCGTTGCAAGGAGTTTTGCGTAAAATGCAAAACATGGAAAATTTACACGGAGAGGAGATAGAATAAAGTGAGCAAGACATGTTGCGAAAGAGTTCTCCAAGTCTCCAAAGTCAGAAAAAAGAAGAACATCTGATATACATCTGATTCTCTGGTTCTCTGAGTCGAGGAACGCTTGCCGTTTGGCTCTTGGGGAGCGACTGCGGGAAGAAGTCCTGGCTTCTCGATGCTTGTGTCGCTCATGGTTGGTTTTTGGCCTGTTACGTCTGTCGGGTCGGCGACCCTTCCGTGGAGAAATCTTCCGCGACTCCCTCGTTCCAACCTGGTCTGGAGTCACAGACTCCCGAGACTCAGAGGATTTTTTTCTCTGAAGCGAGGAGTCACGCCGAGCTGTAGAGACTCTCTTCAAAGCCACATCTGAAGCCGACGGCATCTTGCTGCGTGCTTTTGGAAACCTATCACGGTCGCTATGCTTTGTCTCTTGCACTGTTTTCTTGCACTGTTTTCTACTTTCCTCCCAAATGTCCCGAGCACTCTTTGAAGGCTCAAGTGTTTTGGCTCTCTCCTGGACACAAGGATCATCCCAAAATACACGGGCTGCTGATGTCTCTGCTTCTCTTTTGGTACGATGCACTTCTCCTTCGTAATCCTTTTTGCTCAAAACGGCTGCTCGAGCCCGCTCACTGAGTCGCAGCGTGGACCGGAATTGGCCCTTCTCCTGCTCCACTGTATCATAGGTCCCAAATGGAGGATCGCCATATTTGCCATGAAGCGCTCGCCTTAATGCAAGCGTTCTGGCTAGCGGAGTTCCAATATCTTCCAAATATGTTTAGATCTTAAATACATATATATATATATATTAGCATGGTGCTCTAACACGTTCTCTTTAGCCTAAATTGCAACCTTAACTTTTGCAAATTGTAACCTTAACTTTTGTAAATTGTAACCTTAATTTTGTAAATTGTAACCTTAACTTTTTGTAAATTGTAACCTTAATTTTGTAAATTGTAACCATAATTTTTGTACAAGTAAACTGTAACCTTGGTTTGTGTAAATTGTAACCTTAAATTGTGTAAACTGTAACCTTATTTTTTGTAAAACGTAACCTTGATTTTTGCAAATAGTAACCTTATTTTTTGTAGATGTAACCTTAAATTTTGTAAACTTTAAGCATATTTTATATCAATCGAAGTGTGCTGCATAGTTTCAGCCGCGTGAAATGCATCGCCTGTATTGGATGTAATTCATGTATGTACTATATGAATAGTATGTTATCTGCACCGTGCTATAAATAACGATGTCGCTGTTCAATCTATGATAAGTTGCAAGTCATAATGTAACACTTGAGAGGGGGGGGACGAAAGGTAGGCGGGGGAAGATACAGGAGGGACAGGCAAGAGGAGCGCCGAACTTTTCCAGGATGCGCGGCTTGAGACTTCTTTTTGATCGGTGCATGCCATTAGGGAACGTGTCAGAGTTTCAAAAGGCGAGGATGGCTGATCATTCAAGTCTCCACCGGCTTCACCCAATCAACAGATCCATTGGTCAATGTGTAGATCTCTCAAGGGGGATGCAAAGCGATTGAAACGAATTGAAACAACCAACCATAAATATATCTCCCTGATCATTGCAAACGCACCCTAAGTTCGCTTCTCCAGGCTGCTGGCAAGGGATGCCCTGATCTACATATGGTGCCATGTGATGGCAGAGATGTAAGAGACGACCCCCTTGCTACGGAACAGGATTTGCGACAGGTCTTGATTGACATGATCCCAATCCCATGGCAGGCGAACGCGGAAGGGGGAGAACTCATGCGGAGCCTGCTAGCTGAATTCCCCGTGGCTTTTCTCTGCGCATATTGATTTTCCTGCTGGATATGGTGTTGCCTCAATTGGACGCTTACCATGCTGGTCGTCAGCTACAGCACCTACAACCCTGGACCAGCGTTGTATTGGCGCAACGACAAGAGCAAGGACAACCGGGCCTCGAGCTGGTTGTCCGATATGGATATGAGGCCTTTGCTGGTTTTCATGTGGTGCAGCTGCTCACAGATGGTATTCCTCTTTTGCTCTTCAGCGACCCGAAGGCGGTTCCTTCCGTGTCGCCATGGAGTCTATGTGTAAATGGCAACTTAGGGAGCATGGAAGCCAATGTGATGGCAGGGAGGGCACTGTTTGGGCCCGCGTCGCTGTGCCATTTTCTTGGCTCAAGAAAAAGTAATGCAAGGCACTGGTCGTTCCGCGGATTCCCGTGCATACCGTCGAATTGCCCCAAAGTCACTTGAGCTAGTCCTGGTCTCCAGGCCTGTCGCATTTGCCTTTTGTGGCCGCCTTCTAGTGCAACAGCCAGCGGAGGTGGAATATTTTGACCAGCGCGAGACTGGCCGCAACCTATTTTGTTTTCCATGCGAGCTTCTCTGTGTTGATGGAAGAAATGGCATTCCTTGGTGACACACGAAGTCGATGTGAATTGCTGGTTTTTGCACAGGCCAACCCGGCACGACTCCCATTGACAATGGGCATTCTCCAGCCCAATATCCCAGTGAGAAGAATGATGATTGAACGAAGGACAAAACTGACAGATGCATTGGTCCGAGTGCTTTGTCGCCTATTGACACCCATTGGAGTTGTTCTTCCAGGTCCGCATGATGAGTATATGCGCGACAGCCTACTCTCTTTGGCCGGGCATGGGGATGGGCATGTCCTTACTGTAGCAGTAGCATTGCTCTTTTTTTTCCGTCCAACGCCTTATGGCTTCCGCCAGGTCGTTCAACATGTTTCCAAGCATGTTGCAAATGAGATTAATTAATAGCAGTAGCATTGCTCCTGGCGATCCTCACTGGCCGTTCTGACCTTTGTATCGCAGGCGTTTTTGGTGCCGGAAAGACGCGTTCCCTGGCAGTTTTGCTAATTGCTCTCAGCTGCGAACTAAGTGATTTCTATGCGATCGTTTACACCAAAGAAAACGTTGCTGCAAAAGCCCTAGCTGATCAAATCAGTGACCTTGCCCCACCAACGCAAACAGCCTTTGGACGGCTACTAGGCCGCATTGAGGAAGGCAAGGGCGAAGCGTATGCAACAAAAATTGATGTTCGATGCAGTGATCGCAATAGGGTTATTGCTGAGAAACGCATTTTGATTGCAACTGGAGGCTCCGCTACGGCGGAAATGGCCATGAAATACTCATCATTTAGTCTCTGGCTCTCCAAGGTGTGGCTTGCACTTATGGATGAGAGCCAGCAGTACGGCAATTACCATGAAATTGCCGCACTTGCTGCAATCCAGCAACCGGCACTGATTGTCTTTGTTGGTGATCCCAGACAAACACCTGGAGGTCTCTCCAAGGGAAGGGCTGCAGCAGTGAATAGGCAGAAGCTTCTTCACCGTCCCCTGGGGCTACGAGCCTTGAATCGCCCTGGTGATTACTTGCCCCTGCCCGGCTCACCAAGTTAATTGCACTCCTCTGGCCGGATGCGAGCCAGGATAACGACTCTGAAGTGGCTCGACTCTCAACTTAGGCCAAGCACCACACACAGGAATTTGGACTCCTAAAACAACTGCCCAGCACCTACCAACTTCACTGGCGCGCCTTTTCAGTGAGGAAACGCTCAGCCACCTGAATGTTCAGAGTTGCCTGATTTCTGACCTAGCTGTCCTGCTTATTGCTACTGCGCCAGAAGAATTTGGCATCCCTGAGTGTACAACTACGGTGGAAGCAGCTGGCCTAGATGGTCCGCATAGATGGGGCATCATACTGTCCAACAGCTCCAGAGTGTCCCTATTGACGTACAAAGCCATCGTCGCAGTTAGGACCCGGAACTGGTGCTACATGATCAGGATCCCATCCAAATGGCCATTTTGTCCCCCACGATCACACTGTTGGACACGGAGGTTTTCGTACAGTGCTATGGGAAGTACCCAGAGATTCCAGAGACCTCCTGGCTGCAATTGTGGGATATCGTAGTATTTCTCAACTACCTCCAAAAGTGCTATCGGGACCTCAATCAAGGAGCGACAGCGCAGCTCCTGGTAATGTGTAATCGCACGGCAGTGCACACACAACTCCTCCTTTCCGTAGCCATTTGGCTCAAGGCTGTATCGGCTCAAACCCCGTGGGTACTGGGTAACCTGATTTTAACTCAAGGGGCAAACATCCATCTTGGGTGATTTGCGTGAGTTAATTTTGGGGGCACCAGTAAAAAAGGGGCTAGGGTAGTACTGCCGTAGGAAGAGCACAAACGTGCCCGTCAACCTTGTTGTGAGGATAATTTGGGAGGGGGGGGTTTATCTTAGTTTTGTTTATTTTAGATCTACCTTCTCTGTTTTGCCCACTTGCATTGTGACCGTTGAACACACCATTTTTGAACCCCACTTGTTTAAGGACTCCTGGGGTACCCAGTGTAGTTCTTTTACTTGTGATCTTGTTGGATTTATTCACAAGGCTCACTGGGGTACTCAGTGTAGTCTTTTTATTTCTTGTTATCGTCTTTTCCGCCCAGATTGCCCCTCTTGCTTGCCTCTGTGTAGTCACTATACCCAGGGGTACTCTGGGTTATAGTCGACTACATGAACTACAACCCTCATGACACTATTGAACAACATGCCATTGAGTTGGTGTCCAGTCTTGGGAAGGAACATCTTTTTGTTGCCAACTGTCCAAGTGATATTGACTCGAACAGATATTCAGGTACAGTGATCACTTATGAAGAAGCTTTTGATCACAGTGATACAGGAGTCGGCCTCTGCCTGTTGCTCCCCAAAGCTTATGTCCTTCAGAAATTCATAGACATATGCCTTAACAAAGATATTTCTGTTCATTTTGTCTTCACTTGTTCAAGCAGTACCAGTGAATTTGAAGCTTCTGCATGGCTATACAATCTCCTCAATGATAAGGTTCAGCATGTTGGCTTCATGCAAAATCTTGGAGTTACTTTTTGCTCCGCAAATAACCAAGAGAAATATCTCATTGCATGCCAGGTTGAACCTTATGCCGAACATTGCCATGTTTCTTGGCCTCGACCCTGCAGAACGCTGGAGTATGTCTTCCCCAGAACCGTTGTTGAACGACACCAGACGATCAGTGAACTTCAGAGCCTCTCTGTAGTCAACTATATTGATTTCAGAAGACCCAATGGATGCCATCGTATATCAGATAAGATCGATGTTACCTCACTCACTGTCCAAATTGCCAATGATTGCTTGGCAGACATCGAGCTTGTTGAGAAGATTTTACAGCCAACTGTGGATGCCGCTTGGTTGCATGGACTTGCAGAATGTCAGGTTAAGCATTTCTTTCCATGGGATGACTCAGAATTCCAAAAGCATTTTCCACATGGAATTACTATGTCAGTATTGGATTTGAAGGCTTTTCCGAATACCGTACTTAATGAGATTCTTGTCCAACTAGCCAACCTTAAAGTTAGGTACCACTTCATGAATTACAGAAGGCTTGCCATCTTCGGATCGCCGTCACTTGTC